AAACATTACGGTCAGCCTGTCGAAAATCTCTGCAAACATTTTTCAAAAATCGGGTTAGTAGTAGAGATGGGAACTATTTTTTTTGAACACCCTGTTTGATAACCCCAGGTAAAAGTTAATTAGGGCATCTATTGACAATGACCTTGACAAGGCCGGAACGAATTGGAATGTATTATTGGACGCACGGATGAATGAGACTCAATCACCAATGTTGCCAGACTCTGGAGAGAATCGTTCTTCTCGCCACTACTCCGCAATCCGAAAAATTCATCATGCGTTCCTTCCTAATTTGACACCACAATTACTTTAAAACTTTCATTTTTAAGCATTTTTTAAAATAACCGAAAAATTCTGAGGCCAATGGAATATTTTGACTTGAGTTATACCATCGAATCAGAAAAGGGTCCATTATAATTAGGTTAAGTACAAAAATGTTATTTTTGATGGTTCCAATGTAAGCAATAGAGCATAATTTCAAGTAAAAATTTTGTATCGAGTATGTGTTCATTATGCTATTTCATTGCAAACAAAGGGGTTGGCCCCCTGACCGCTTCGCGGTCGTCTGAGGCGCAAAGCGCTTCAGGCGATAATTGTTACATGTTAGTTTATGATTATATACTATAGACTATGAATATGTCATGAAAATATCGCGAGTCAATTCATAATTCCTCAAATCAGAGAAATGTTGACTGCAAGAGACACCTGGAAGGCTGACTTAAGTACGATAAGATTATGGATCTGCTAACAGGAGAACCGCTTTGGACAGCGATCCATCGACCAACGTAGCCACTAAATCAGTCTATTGAGCGAGCAATACACAATCAAAATCAGAGTATTGTTGAGACTGTTGCAGGTCGAAAATTGAAGGGCCCTAAACTTTTGATCAACAATCGCGAATACATGTCACTCCGCTTCGATTTCTCATGGTGATTTCTCTCGCGTCGCGATTATTTGCAGGCCCTAAAAAAATTAATTGGGGAATTTTGACCTCTCCCGAAAGTGGAGCGAGGCGCTGCTTCGCTGGAATCAACGACGATGGTAAAGTGTTCAAGTTTTTGATTGAGGATTATCACGGGAGGGAGACATTTTACTCGGGAAGCAACAACGGCGGGAAACGAAGTCGAAGGTGCTCTAGATCCATAAGCCGAGACATAAAGGCAGAGCGCCGGCCACTCGCATTGCGGCCAATGGCGTGGCGTGCTTTGCGATATATCGATTGATCTGCCATTTAAACCTACAGAAAAGGATCGATAAATATGGTGTTTGCAACGAATACCTTAATAATCGATTCTTTACCATAGCTTCGAATGGAGAAATATCGATAGTCGGTCATCCACGCCTCGCTACTGCACATTGCGGCAACTCCGGTGGACGAATTGAGAAACGGAACCATGACCTAGGCCCTTCGAGAATGGCCATACTCCTTCTGAGGGTCTCGACTGATTAGCCGGCTATGAAATCTTTGGCACAAGTCCAGGAGATCTGCGCCTGTCACTTTGCTTTGTCTCCCATTTAAAAAAATAACAAAACAATTTAAAAGAACGGAGTAACAAGCACTATTACAATGCGACTCATGTACCCCAAATCCAAAATTTTAAAGTTGATTTACATTTCTGACTGGACTTTTTCTAACTCTTCAGCGAAAAAAAAATACTAATATGTTGAGATGCAATTTTCTTGAAAAGACCCTGGAACGACTTTGCCGCCTTCGCCGTTCTTACGATTAGTTAAGAGAAGGAAGGGGATATATTGAACACAATCGAAGCATTATTCGGTAAATTCACAATGTCGTGATGAAAATCAGTAACAGTTTACTTTATGGCACAATAGGCGACGCTGGAATAAGTTACGGTGTAAGAGAAACAAAGCAAATCGCCCTTTATTTGGTGTCAAATGCGACGAAAACTACATGAATTTCATTGTAACTCCTGGATGCAACTGTTCGGGCTCTATGGATGTGCGTGTTGCATACGCTCAGGATTTAAGGCGTTTTGACTGTCCAGGAAACCACCACTTTGCCCACGACGCAACGCCAACGGCGGGCTTTACTGTGAGGCTCAAACATCGCAGAACGTCTTTAACGATTTATTATTTATTACTCCATATCAAGTGTGGTCCGCAATATGGAACGATTTCCAAAAAAAATACCAAGAGGCGAGTGCTCGATATGAAAGAAAAAAAGCGTTTAAATAATTAAAGATTGCAATATTTTCCCCCAAAAATTAATATTTAATAGAAAAAGTATGTATGATTCCTCTTGAAAATTTCAGGTCCTTTACGGAAAACTGCGAAGAAAATTCTACGAAAAATTAGAAGAAAAATATCCAGAATTTTTCCTAGAAATTCGTATTTTATGAAAAGAAATTTGGCAACATGTGGAGGCTCATACGGCGCTCTTCCTGACACTACGATAGCCCCAACGTCAAACATACTGGTGCAATTACATTGTATCTGCACAGAGTTCTTTTTTGTCTGACTCATTCTGGGAATCTGCATAAATAAAAGCCTATAAAAGACAGAACGTCATGAGACATCAGGGTCTCAACATTGGTGCAGAATGATGGGATAAGTGCTGGAGGCAAATTCGTTCATTGTGCATGACCTCATGAACTGCGGTGAGAAGGTCGCACAGAGTTTTCAAGTTGATCTAACCTTCGAACTCGACCGATTTGCTGACAATTTGTAGTCATTTGTTTCCCCGGATAGAACATAAGTGATCTACCCAACAGCTTTGGTGTCATTCATTTTGTCCGTCGCTGACGTTTCTTCGAAAATTTGGACTGCGTTAAGCAGGAAGGAATTAAGCCGCATCAGCTATTGCCAAATTTAATCGCGCAATTCAATTTTTTACATGAAAACGGTTGTGCAAATTTCAGCGGATTTTTTGCATAGTACGAGGCAAATGCCTTAAAATGTTCAATGGAATCTGCATAATCGTTCTATTATAAAAAATTATTTGCGCCGTTAAATTTGGCAACACCTGATGTGGCTTGGTTCCTTTCTGCTAAACACGGTCCATTTGTGGCCCGCTTAGGTGCCAGGGGAGACCCGCCTGGATCCCCCTTAGTAGGGTATCTTTCAGTGCTCCTCAGACTCCCTTGATGATGTAGCCCTCTGCCCCCCCCCCCTCTACATACAAAGTTCCTAGCTCCGCCAGCGTTAGCGCGGCAGCATTTGTATGTACTCGCACTGATACTGGTACTAGAGAGAACACCACTGCCTCCATTAATACTACACATCCTTCACCTAACCCAACCGATCGTAAAATGAAGATCTCAAATTCTTCTTAATTTACTGCTCTCACTTTCATCGACGGAATGATCCACCTACCAACAGAAACGGTTGAACGTGAAATGATGCAGTATCGGTGATCCGACCTGAAGCAAAACGACCTTCGATCACGCAACTGTTCAGCTCCATCATACCATCCGTTCTGCATTACCGACCGACGGATTTTCAAACTTCCAGTTACACAAGCGAAGGTCATGACCTCGCACAAAAATTGATTTTTAACCGTCGTGCTCCACATGCGGTACAATAAGATTTGATCTGTGGACAAATTTTCGAAACATGGTTTTTCGAGAGCGTGAAACATGTGCCGCTAAGTGTAAGGGGTGAAAGGTTGGTAATGTAGCATCGCGTCCATGATATTGGACTCCATGCTCAGCTATATGATATTCGGTTGCTCATCACGTCCAAGATCTTGGACTCCATGCTCACTTTAATTAGGGATAATTTTTTCGAAAAATCGAAGTGAGCATAGCGTCCAAAATTGTGGGACGCAGGTATTCTCCGACAATATAGGAGCATGGGGTCCAAAATTTTATTAAGAAATTTTTGTGAAATAAAGACAAGAAAATGTGTTTTCGAAAAAAATTGTGCATTGCTTAGGTTGAGTTAGGTAAGGTTAGGTTAGGTTAGGTTAGGTTAGGTTAGATTAGATTAGGTTAGGTTAGTTCAGATTAGATTAGATAAGCGAAGTATACGATTTTCTATAATGATGAACTTTAAAACTAAGAGAGGTCTACTTGCTTTTGGACTCCATGCTCAAGCAAAGAAGTGAGACGTTTAACGATGAGCACGGAGTCCAAGATCTTGGACGAGATGAGCAGGTAAGTATATCAAGGATGAGCATGGAGTCCAATATCTTGGACGCGATGCTACATAATCGAAAGGTTTAAAATCTTAAGCAAATATTAAACGAATTTCCAAGATTAATATTTGGATCGTGTTAAGCAGAAAGGAAGCAAGCCCCATCAGCTATTGCCAAATTCAATTGGGCAATTTAATTTCTTACATGAAAACGGTTTTGCCGATTTTTGTGCACATTTCAGCGAATTTTTTGCATTTGCGAGGCAAATTCCTTAAAGTATTCAATCAAAGGAGTCCGCACAAACGCTCTCCTGTAAGAAATTAAATTTCCCAGTTAAATTTGGAAATAGCTAATGTGGCTTGGTTCCTTTCTGCGAAGCACGGTTCATTTGACAGTGTTTACTTTTTTCATGGGCATATTTTGCAACTTATTTTGTGTTTAGCATCAATTTTTAGAATAAAATAAAACTTTACCGCAAACTGTTTTTTAAACACACACTGAAAGAAAAGTCGCTTGGATCTAGAGTTCAGACTCTGAATAATATTGTCAAGAAAAAATACTCTTGATTCAATCAGATTTTTCCTTGAATTGAAGAGACGAGCCTCTTGATTTAGTCGGATTTCCTTTTGATTCAAGTGAGAAGTCCGATTGAATCAAGAGTATTTTTTCTTGTCAATGTTTTCAAGAGTCTGGACTTTAGATCTAAGCTACTTTTTACTCAGAGTAAATTTTACGCAAAAAAAGAGCAAAGGGTTTCCTAACTTGCACATTTGACAATTTACCTTTTTTTCAGCCCTACAGCCAGTGCAAAACCTCTTAATTCTTGCTCTTTCTAGTAGTTTATCATGGGGAGAATTTCATTTAGTATGAAAATTGCTAATTAAAGTCTTTCGTTCGTTTGTTGCAGACTGAAATTGACTGATAATGGAACGAAAAAAGGCATCGAGGCCGACGACACGTACGAGCCTTTTTCGAATCGAGATATGACGCATGCCACATCGTAAGTATTCATTTGTATTGAATAAAGATACCCATTAATTCTTCGGAGTTGTGACAAATCGCCGATTAAGCCACAAATGCGACCTACTTGCAACCGTAAAGTTATCCACTAATGATTTTGGCTCGATCGTCACTTACTGTATGCCGCCAATCCGTAGGGATATCTTTTTTGAATACGGTAATTCATCACGACAAGTTTTTCTCTAGGTAAGATGATTCGATAGTGAAAGTTGAGAAGTTCGCATCTCGATTGCAACGTTTCTGAGTACATCGAGTACATCTGCGGTTGATTTATTTTTTTCTCTTGTCAGTATTTTTTTAGGGATAGCAAATAAACATTATTGTTTGAAATTTTCACAAATGACATTATATATTGTGAGAAAAAAATTGGTGAGACATACTAATCATTAATTTCCTTTGAAAAAAAAGACGAGGTTTAACAAGAGATTTGCAACTTCGCAAAGTGAGCCACGTGTTTAGCGACTCAACCAGTGAACTGTCTATCGACCACGTTTTTTAGAAACCAAATTATTGTTTTTGTATGATTTTATTTCTTATCGCTCTAATGAGCTCAAAGGCTTTCTGAAAGTTAGGAAAAAGAGACTAGAATCAAAGGCATTTGCTATAATTGACAGTGAAATCGTACGAAATTGCCAGTGGTTGGTAATTACCATGCGAATCTGTAATTTTACCGGGAGTTTTTTCTCAGTGTCCAAATAGAGCGTCATAGCCACATCTTAGCCGGAAACTTGTCATATTCCTTCTTGTCTAAATATATCATTCACTCAGTTTTCAAAACAGTCAAAGTCGGTATGAAAAACGCATAATGTCACATGCTGTCGTACACACTTGAACTGTTTTAAAAAGAGACCGAACCATTCACTACATCAAAAATGTCGTTGCTGGTTGTAAGACGCGATATTTATCACCGTCACATACTGCAGTTGAAATGAAGTGGTCATAAAATTCATCAAAGTGGCAAGTTACCAGCTGCGGTGTCCTCCAAAGTGTCATGTCCGTTTCCTTCCCATGGGCAATTTTTTTCAGCTCTCAAATTTGACGCCGAGACCATTTTTTGGCAACTTCCTTTGTGATACCTCAATGTTGACTGCCCTCATCGTTTAGTTTGCATTCCCAGGATGTACCTTTTGAGATGACCAGGAGCATTTTTACATCCAGGATGCTATCGCAGCATATTATTTTTTCGGTACTACGTTAATTGGACGTATTTCTATCAAACGGAATTACGTGCATTATGGCGTGAGCCCCGTTATGCACATATTCTTATGGGTCTCCGGGCTCATGTCTTAATGCACATAGTTCCGTTTGGCAGAAACACGTCCAATTCGTCGTTTTCCGGACGAAGGAACGTAACTTAATTTCAGTGTTGCAAAATTGACTGAGACAATTCAATATTTACAAGGGTACACCTGCACCTGCTCGATTTTTTCCCCGAAACATGTCTAATTTTTTCATGAGATTAGAAGCGAATTAAAAAAAATTTTCAGTCAGCGAGGCTGCAGATTTTCAGCACAAGAATTTGGTCGCTTCAACGCAAACATTTAGTTGATTTGACAGAAGAAAAACTAACACAAAAAAAATTAACGAACAACTTGTGATACTTCGTCTTTTACTTCCCATATTAACACAACATTTTGGTTACTTTCCCTTACTGTTGGCTGATTGTTGAAATTGGTAAATAAAGCTATAGACAAATAAGACGAAAAGGATATTGAGGGAGCCGGAGCCTATTGGTGGGAGCAGGTGGTTGAAATGGCCAAATGAGGTAGGCAATAGTATGAGGTAGGTAATAGTAGTAACTAATGGCAACCCACGAGAGGCCATATAGTTAGTCTATCATTTTCTCCCCTCGTCTGTCGCAACCATCCATTTCAACCGGTAGGTTCGCTCCATACTCCCAATATCTTCTTTGTCCATAGCTATGTCTATCAATTTCAACGATCAGCCCGCAGTGCAGTTAAAAAAATCGACAAGATATGCGCTCGCTAACTTCCATATGGACATATTTCTGTCAAACGGAATTAGGGACAGGTGGAAAAGAAGGGGTGTGGTCATTAGCCGAGGGCCGTAAGAATAAGTAGAAATTATGAAGTGACGTCAGCGCCGTTGACGCGCGCGATTCGCTTTAAATCTTGAGCCCTGTCCACAACGCTCTTTTGCCATGCCAACGGCTCATGAGTGCCGCATACACTTGGCGCTTTGTTCCGTTTGGTAGAATTTAAACTTCCGTTTTTCCATTCCTCCAAAAAGAATCAAGGTCACTTTTACATTGTTTCTTACACAGCTCACCACGAGCACACCCCATCTTTCCCACCCTCACATAGTTCTGTTTGGTAGAATTACGTCCATGTGAACCGAAGTTATTCGGTTCGTAAAGCTGCACCATCTCGGCCTCGGCCAACGAAACAGGAATTTGGTTCTGAAAACCGAACAAGTCGGTTCGCTCGACTGCGATGCGAGGAACCGGATAGAGGGACTGACCACAATGGCAGGGACTGGCGAGACGCCGGCGCCGCGGGACACGCGGGAAGTTTTCAACGGTATCTGGCATCGCGGGCGCGAACAAGAGAGATGGGTCAACAAAAGAGCGATTGACATGGGCCGTGGAATGCATACAAATCAGGGATCAGCGTCCGCGACCCCGCCAGCGCGCGTTGATCGCCGATCGCCGATCACGTCAAGCCAAGACCCGGGATCAACCTCAGCGTCGTCGTCGGTCGGCTCCGACGCCGCGGCGCACACAGAGAAAAAAAAAGGACGTCCGGTGAACTAAAATATATAACTTGAAAAATACACGCAATGGAGATGTTGCATGTGTGAGGGATTTGCGATTTGACAATTGATTGTTATGTAAAAGATCGCGAGAAACATGATGGTGCCCCTGTTTTTCTCTGAAATCAACTCCCAAGCTCAAAAAAAGCTCTCAAGTTGGAGCCAAAATGGAGGGAATATCCCACGCTATCCTAAGAGTCCACTTTCTACATCAAGACAAACTCTCCATGCAAAGATAGGGAGCATGCACATAAGCAGTGATGCCGTGTTTTCAATTTTAGAGTCCCCAAATAAAGTGGCAGCCCTGTCAATGTATTTGCTCCCTATCTTCGCATGGAGAGTTTGTCTTGATGTAGAGGTGGACTCTCAGGGTAGGGTGGGATATCCCCTCCATTACGCCCTCAACTTGAGAGCTTATCCTTAAGCTTGGGAGTTGATTTCAGGAAAAACCAGTGGCACCATCGAGTTTCGCGCGAACTTTTACATAAGAATCAACGTTCAAATCGCAAATTCCTCACACCTGCAACATCTCCATTCTCCACAGGGAGAATAGGGGATTTTGACTGTTATTTGGACGCGTTTCTGCCAAACGGAACTGTGTGCGTTAAGACATGAGTCCTGAGACCCATCAGAATATACGCATAACAGGGTTCACGTCATCATCCACATAGCTCCGTTTGACAGAAATACGCTACTAAGCGGAACTAGGAACGTGTGAGTAGTTTAATCAAGTGAGGTTTTGCGAATAAATTTCGATAGGTATCGATTTCTCGGAGGTGGAGTGGCAAACTACATTAAAAGTGGCAGTTTTTTCAAACACTAATAGTGAAATATTTTGCGTCAGAACGCTTAGATTGTCATTACAGTGGCCTGAATCTCAAATGAGAATTTTTTCAAACCCGTTAGAGAAATGCTTCCAAAGTTTCATGCAAAAGTATGCGTTTTTCTCTGAGCTTTTTTTTTGGCCAAATGACCCATTTTACCCATTGTGCGCCGCGCTGTCGAACATGTAACGTCGACGCTATTATCGCGCACTTCTCAGCGGTGCACTTAAGTCTACGTCACGCTGGTTGATCCCCCCCCCCTTCATTTCTTCCTCCCTCTACCCTCCACTCGAAGAAACCCATTAAGGTGCACATAATGTTATGAGGTCGTCCACTGAAAAAGTGGCCTTAGTCTATACGAAAGCTCAAAATTAAGCTTTCTATATCAAAGTATTAAAACGCCCAAAAATGTCAAACCGAACAGGAAACACGTCGATCCAAAGTTTCCAGTTCAATACTGCCGTGCTAAGGAAAAACGCCGTATAAGCCTTCAGGCGTTGCCAAATTTCCTCTGGCAAATCACTGATTTTTAGGAAAATTTTTGAATATGTTTCTGCCACTTTATCAGATAATTTTTTTTATAATTTGATGTGAAGTGTCTTAAAATTTCAAGAAAATATATTCATAAGTTTCCTCAAAAATAAACATTTCATCGAGGGAAATTTGGCAACTCTCGAATGTTCATACAGCGAACATAGGTAGAACCTTAGCACGGCAGTCTAGCATTGCGTTTGGTGCAATGCGAGAAGTATCCATACAGTCTTGTAGGCGCTAATATGCGGCTGACGCCGACCGCACTTTTTGGCGCAATGCATGAAGTATTCCTGCAGCCTTGCAGGCGCTGATATGAGTCTGCCGTTGACCGCACCGTGTTTAGCGCGATTATTTGAACTTGCGTTGGGATAATTCGTGTTTTACTCTCGGAAAGGCAACTCTCGAATGTTCATACGGCGTTCTTCCTTAGCACAGCAGAATAAGCGCAGTTTCGAGAAGAAACTATTTCTAACTCTCATCGTCTCAACTGCTATATTCAGGGCGGGAAAGTGCCAAATTATAATGAAATTATTGTCCACCGATCGGTAAAGTAGCTATACTTTTGTCACACTACTTAAATTTAAGCACGTAAGCAAAAAATCCACCTAGCAGCGCAAATAAAATGAATAGAATGCGTATCTGAAAACCTCAAATTCATCCCGCTCCACGAACTTACGAGAGGAAACCTAATAGCAGATACCGTCCACTTGAGAATTGCCTTCAATTTGGCCGTATAGGCAACAAACGTACCGGAGAGCTCGAATAGTTGCCTACTCAAAAAACGCACATTATTACTGCCCCTCTAGCTTTGCTCGCACCTAAATGTGTTATGAACCCATGGGATGGTATCGTCCGTTAAGAGTTAGCCTTCAATTCCGCCACGTAGGCAACAAACATACTGGAGAGCTCGAAGAGTTGTCTTATACAAAAAAAACCCATTAATCTCGGTCCTTATGTTTTGATTAAATAAGACTAAAATATTTTCATTCTCATAGCAACTTATGAGGAAATTACAACTCGATAAATTTGCTCACAGATTAGCAATTATAACCCTAACTCTGATGCCCTTCGGACCTCTCTCAAGGCGTGCCAAAATCTATCAAGGTGTCATCAATCTGAAAAATCTCAAATTTAAAAATCCATAAATCCGGCATTATTTCTTACTCCGTTTGGAAACAAAATTTTGAACATGCATACTGTGCATTACATTGGAGAAAATCAGTTCACCCTGAGCCACACCAGCTTTTGCCAAATTTAACGGGGCCATTTACTTTCTTACGTATGAAAACTGCTGTGCAGATTTGGGTACAAATTTCAGTGAATTTTTCGCATTTTACAAAAAAAAATCCTTAAAATTACCAAAGGAATCCGCGCAAGCGTTCTCCTGTAAAAAAAATAAATTGCCCAGTTGAATTTGACAATAGCTGGTGTTTCTTTGGTTCCTTTCTGCTGGACGCGGTCAAACCGTCAAAGGTTGTCAATGTCTCTCACTTCCCCCACCAATGGTGCTTGCCATTCACTCTGTTCCCAAGGGTTTAAATGGGACCCAGTGTCCATATTCCCACTATGAATGGCATTTTACACATTCATACCCTATCTGGCAACGTTGCTGTAATGTTGCCATCATTTTTGCACGTCGGGATGCATTCCTCAATCAACCTTTCACGGGTGAGTGTCTCTCTGAAACAGTGCAGAATCACACCGTAGGCGCTCCTGTCTGACCTCGGGTTGATCGAAGCGCTAAAATACGCTATTTGCATTTGTCAGGCCGAGTTTTTGTTCGGACCGATTGCCACGCTGCAAATGTTCACACCATGTCTTTGAACTGCTCACCAAGGTTCATGCCTGTCCTCCGATATTGCCAAATTGAATCTAATTCTCACCAATACCTTCGTGGAAATACATAAGGTCAAAATACGTGGAATATAATTTTTAAAAAAATAATTGATTATAAAAAATCTGAAAACGATTCTGAAATGTTTTAAACGAATCGTGAATATTACTGCATGGCACGATTTCAAAGCCTTTCAAAGAGTTGTCCATATATTTTGTAATTTACTAAAAAATTTTGAGAGCAACGCACGAAAGTTGCATCCACCGGTGATTCTCGACCTTGGGCCGGGAACGAAACACGGTCACATGGGGATCATCATCATCGCGTCGAAAACGAAGCCCAATCGTCAATCGAGCGCTTCTTCGAGAAAAGAGCGTGAACACCATAAGGATTCCATAGCTTGTGCGTTGTTCTTCAAGCTGGTGTAGTTGCAAGAGTACTCGCGCAGATCCGTTGCTGCTCTACCGTATTTCGCAGAAACCGCGTATCTTAAGGGGTTTTAAATTGGAGTTATGTGGTTTTTGATCGGCAGGACAGTGCTGCTGCACGGCGCTGCATCGCCGTAGAGTTGAACGCGAGCTTCAGTAATCACACTGCCCACCGTTACATCATCGAATTGTTACCGCGCAGGATTGCCGATTTTACCCCCTATATCAGCAATTTCACCCCCGTTAGAAATACTGGTATGCCAACGGTCATTGTCTTTGATCGCACAGGACACCTGGGCTGAGTTCGCCATGGAAGAGTACCAGTTTTTCACCATATTCTGATTTTCCCATGCAAATGCTTACTTGTTTATATGGCTGTCTTCGTTTACTTTACCAGTTTTTTCATGAGCTTTATAACAGTTCCCGGAATTATTATTTATTGGGGTTGGTGTTTCTCACCTCTCTCTCTTTGGATGGACCTTAATGTCGGCGACCAAGAAAAAGTGCCCGGTAAATTTGAAAATGCGTGTTGTGCATGATGGAAATTGTGCGCTTGGAATGTACTTCACGAGAGCTTCGTGCGATTTAACCAGAGAATATAGTCTACGCAGTTTGCTGTATCTTTCCTGTGCAACAGATCCATTTAGTTTAAGAGTGTTATGATGTTGGAAATTCCTAGTGATGTAGTCCACTTTAGTCGTATTTTCCTCCTAAGTGTTGGAGCAGTCACCTCGAGTAGTTTACTGTTATTCATCTCTAGTATATCTCTTATTTACTTATCGTTGTTAAAAATGCAGGTTGAGATAAATACTCGAAGCTCCTTTCCTCGCACGATGTTGACGATTTGAAGGAATTCAATGAAACAAATGATAACATTCAAAAAAATAAGGTGCTCTCATACTGAAAATGTTTACATATTATGCAGTATTTACCACAATTCGTCGATAATCTCTGGTTCTGATTATAGTTCCCTTATAGAGAGAGTATGTGAAACTGGCCCCTGGGAGACCGCTTTATAGCCAATAGCGGTGTCACTTGCTGAGAAAAGGGCGGCAAACAGCAGTTCCCTGGCTACATTCGTTACCCAACTTATCACAGTAAAACAACTGAATAAATAAAATAAAAAAGAGGTTTACGCTTTAAAAAGTCTTCTTGAATGCAGCGCGTTTAATTTTACTCCATTATTTAAAATCATATGAGTAACGTGTGGAGCATAACGCTTACGGCGCGAAGCGCTTCGAGGAGTTTGACCGCTAAGCTGTCAGGATGCGTCGCTCAGCCCCTCATTGTGTTTTTGTACCGATGGAGCAGGTCCTATCTGTAAATAAAGTAGATTTGTGGTACTAAAATTAGATATAACTAGAATTTCAATTACTTTGACCATTGCCTGCTTGAAGAATCCGAAATTTTTTACTCCCAGAAAACCCTGCGATAGTCTATGATTATTGTAACTAACTATCATCCCTTCAAAACCATCCAGGGGGCATTCCATGATTCTCTCTACTGAGTGTTCATCGATGCCATCCATGATCACCTTTGAAAGCATGAGCTAATCAGTAATGGATTTCCAAGTGCTCATGTGTGCTCTAAACATGTTCGCTAGATCTTACTGCAGAGTGTAACAACGTGATCAACAATTTTTATCAGCTTTCTATGAACCATCCTTAAGTTCTAACCCACACAAGCTCGCTGTCTATAAGAGATTTCAACCAAAACCAAACCGACCACCAATTAATAAATAAATATAAAAAAAATGAAAAAAAGATTTAAAAATAGATAATTCAGGAACTAGATTAATGAAGAATCGGGTTTTTCGGCCTTACCTCAATTTGAAGGATATTTTTTCGATGAACCATTTTTTACAAAAAACTCGAATCAAGGTGATCGATGCGCGTTGTGTTTCATCTATGACCGACGCTAAGAAGCGCTCCGCAGCCCTTGATACCTACTAGCATTTTGCTGTGACTTTCCGTTTCTTTTTTTCCTCATGATAGCTTTCCTAGCGTTAATTGACGCCTGCAAGGTACCGTCATTTGTAACGTCGATAGGAAAAAGGACCTTAGCTCACAAAAATTCGCTCACGGTTTGAAACCGTGGCGATTCCTGCATATGTGCTAAACAATCGTTGCTGCACTGGAGCTAGAGAATAAGTCAGTCTAATCGCATTGCCATCATATCGTAAGAGGACAATCATTCCATGAGATGATAATCGTACCGACTTAAATAGAAAACAAAGGTAGCTGTATAAGGTCAGCGCATATTTAGTGGAGATTACATACATTTTTTTCGAGGTAAGATTTAGGAACAACAGTAGACAGAAATCCACGAATAGGTAGATACTCACGCTCACTGCACCTATAGGCTACGCCTGCACCGAGGATGCTTACTGCGGGCTGATTATTGAAAATTATAGACAAAGCTGTAGACGAAGAAGACAGGAGGGAAATAAAGCAATTCTATTGGCGGAAGCGGGTGGTTGCAATAGACCCAGAAGGTAAGTAACAAACAAACGACAACCCATGAGAGGCCCTATAAAAGTTCGTTCGTCATTTTCTCTCTTGGAATAGGATCGCTCCATGCATGTCTTCTTTGTCTATCGCTTTGTCTATAAATCTCAATAATCAGTCCGCTGGATCTATCTCGAAAATCGAAGGTGGACTGCCAATATTCGTGACCTCGTGATCTCGTGAGCTTCATACCCCATTCGCGCCAATCCTGCTCCCTCTTATTTTTTTTTTTTTTTTTATATTTAAGAAACTCACTGCTCTGAAGTCATTAGAAAACATTGACGTCTCTTCTGACCCTTTAATTGGCTAGCGTGGTGCAATTTTGATCGTGTAATTTTTTGGTATCAATTTACAATATTTTAGCTTCTATTTGCGACGTCAAAAACTGACTTCAGCCATAAACTGCTTTTGCATACTGCGTTGATCCAATTCTTCCGCACTTTATTGACCGAGATTTTTTGTTTTTGTTTTTACAGGAATTCGGGTGCTTTCTTCCACTTGCTCAAAAGTAGTTTAGGGTCTGGCATTTTGGCGATGCCGAACGCTTTCAAAAATGGCGGTCTCATATTTGGAATTGTCGGTACGATACTCACGGGAATTATTTGTACATACTGCGTACACATGCTGGTAAGTTCAACGTTCCAAGTCTTGTCTTTAGCTTTTTTTTTTGGCACACTGCTTTTTTGCTAAAACAAAGATGCAGTTTTGACGACCAAGGTGGGTTACAGGACATTTCGTCAACGATTTTTGTCTGCGCACCTGTTTTTTCCAGTAATTTATGTCCACGCGTTTTTTCGGCACGAGAGTTTTGGTCCACGTGCCAGTTGAGACCCAAAGCTAATTGGCCCACATGTAAATACAAATGACAATTGCTCACGACGTTTTTGGATGAAAATGTATAATATCTTGGAAGAATGAGGGTTTGCTTGTTTTGTCTGTTTGGTCCAACGGAGAATAATATATGGTTGAGAGTTTCGGTAAAAATGGGGGAGCGTCAATTCCATGAGACAAAATTCACTAAAACTCTCTACACCTCTTTGGTGCAACAGGACTTAATTATCTTTCAAGAAATTCCCACCTTGTTATACCTGAACCGGATAAACCTCTATTTTTGCCTCAGCTAAAGGGTCTTAGATTTTCCTTGTGTACGATAAGTATCTTGATTTATATTGCGAGGAAAGATCTGTACTTTTAAAGGATGTCTGTCATTCTTAATACGTTCAATTTCGTATTAGGTATTAGGTAATTAGGTATAATACGGTGCAACACCTCTGTTGTGAAATAGTTGCTTCAGGCGCCGCCGCACGGCGGGCGGCCAGCGCGAAACGCGCATTGGCGCCTACAAACCTAAGTGGATACTTCAAGCATTGTGCAATGCGTGAAGTATCCACTTAGGTTTGTAGGCGCCAGTGAGCCTCTCGCGCTGGCAGCACGCCGCTCCGCTCTGTTAGGCTTTAATATTTACACTCGCATAGTCAGCGTTTTTTAACTCATGATTTTGAAATGTTAGCACACTCTGCATTGATTATTCTCATATAAATTGATGGGGAAAAAATATGTATCAATTTATCAAAGGAGAATAATAATATAATGTGTGTTTTTATTGTTGGTTCCGTGTCAAATTTAATAATTTCCAAAGCACTTTAATTTTTCCTTTTACATTTTGTGCTTTTATTGTGCTGCAGCAAGGTGTTCGCGCAACGAAACGCTCAAAATTTGACGTATTGGACTCCAAAAGATCGAAGTACAAATAGGTTAAAACTAAAAATTGCGTGTTTCTTGGTTTTTTTCCCTCTTTTATTCATTTTTGCAGTTTCTGTCGGCACAACTGCGGCTCATTGAGATTAATGTCGCTTGGAAGGGGTTTTACAAATATTTGTCACGTTTTAAAAGTATAAATGTTTTCAAAATGAAGTAATAATTTCGCAAAGAAAAAATTAAAAAAAGTACCTCGTACTTACAGGTACCTTGCAACGTCACAAACGGAGATACGTGGTTTCGCAGATTATGAGAGGCTGTTTGTTTCGATAGATTAAATTATCTCACGCCTCTCTCTCCTGGCAGGCCGATTATTGAAATTGATAGACAAAGCTATAGACAAAGAAGACAAAAGATATATGAAGGGATCCTATAGGTGGAAGCGGGTGGTTGCAATGGACAAAGGAGGTACAGGTAATAGACTAACTAAGAGCAACCCACGAGGGACCCGATAGTTAGTCCATCATTTTCTCCCTTACTCTACAGGAACCACTCATTTCAAACAATAAGATTGCTCCATACTCCCTATGTCTTATTTGTCTATCGCTTTGTATATCAATTTCAATAATCAGTCCGCTGGGAGAATCTACTTGCCACCTTCCGATTAAAACTGGCCTTATATGCTGGAAATTTTAAAATTCGGAATACGAGCTACGCGAATTGAGCGTTTAAGAATGGATTTCTGGCACCTCTATTGTGCTCAACGTAATTTCCGTGCAATTTTTCTCATTAAAATTCTACTCTTTGTCAGTCTGTCACAGCTTTTGTGCTCACTACTGCCGTACTAAAGAAAAACGCCGTATGAACATTCGAGAGTTGCCAAATTTCCTCCACTAAAAAGTTTCTTTTTGAGGAAGTTCATGAATATTTTCCCCTGAAATTTTCAGAAACTTTGGGTGAAATTGCGAACAAAATTACCTAAGAAATTGGAAGAATAATATTCATACGTTTACCGGGACAGTCGTGTTTTATCAAAGGGAATTTGGCAACGCCTGGAGGTTCATACGGCGTTTTTACTTAGCACAGCAGAATAGACCCGCACTTTAGCCGTTCGTTTCTCAACAGAGACTGGTAAAGATGGCAATTTTAAAGCGTCGCTAATCACAATTGCACCTTTTTCCTTAAATACGTCATCCATAAATTAAATGCGAATATAACATGGGAAACGTTATAGCGCGACGGAATTCCGTGAGAGAAAGGTGCTGAGGATGCCGCTACTGAACGCGGGGTCCATCGGTTGAAAACCACTTAAGTCCACTGAAAACCTAATGGAGATCCGTTGTTTTTGTAGTCAAGATGCGAGTGTCGCTCCGTTGAGAACGGGCACTCGAGATGCAATGCGTGTTACGTTTTGAGGTCAGCTGTGAGGTCATCGATTCGATGAACAATTAGCTCGCGGTTGAGGTTGTCCGTGTGTTCACCGCTGAGGTTACCGATGAAGTCAGCGATGGAGTCAACGGGAAACTAGCAATGCCAAAATCGAACGGATGTTCAGCTCGCGACGTTTCAAAATTGTCCACAAGGAGAAATATTTATGGCTTATAAACCACTTAGTGGTTGTTATGGAACACCACTAATAGTAGTGGAGGCAACATATAATAATAGTGCATATATTATAGTTATGGTATACACCATACTATGGTAAGAGCTACCACAGTATGATTCACAGACCGATAATCATTAGCTCATATACAACTATTAATGGTGTTCCATATGAACCACTTATTGGCTTATAAGCCATAGCTTTTTCTCAGTGTGGGCAATTAATCTTGGCGCTTTCAAAGTTGCAATTTTTTTCTTTCAAATTGATGTAACTCATCGTTTTTTTGTCGTATGTAGCTGAAACATAATGTAGGGGGGTATTTCTTAGCGCACTGTTCATTTTTGTGTTTCCAAAGACGTACGTCTTTGGAAAATGACGTTACGAGAGTTCCCGAATTTTAAAATTGCAGTAACTTTTTTGATAGATGCTGTTTAAAAAAAGGGATTACGGCACGTGAAAGAGCGCGAAAAATCAAGCGGAACAAAATTTTCTAGAAACGCGTCATTTCGGCGCAACAGAGTTTTGAAAAAGTTTGAGATTTTCGAAGCTCCTTGCTGGGTAGGCAATTTTTACTGCAAGGACTGTAAGAAAGCATAACGTATAGCAAAGGAAGCGCATACTTCACTTATGAAGCGTTTTCGGGCATAAGTGTATAGGGGACAGAAGTAATATTTTGAGCCGAAAATCGATATTGAAAGTAAAATGCGTTATCTTCCGGACACCCTGTACACAACATGTAACGTAGCCAGTAAATCAGCCTAGTAAATCGACAGACATCGAACGCTCAATACCTGCCTGCGGCGGCGGAGGTCGGGAACGCTTCATAGACAGAATTCAGACGTTTCACCCACGGTAAAAAAATCAACAGGTTTTGAAATCGTAATTAAGAGAAGTTGGCGCTATTGACAGTAGAGGAACTGGAAGTGGGCTAGGTTTGAGGAAGTGAGGAAGTGCATTCCCTGGAGCAAGCGAGACTGATAACTATGTATAATGATGTACTGAGCCGCAGACGAGAGCGTCCAAGGTCACCGTGTCTGTGCCACAAACCAAGTGCAGTCTTTATGACGGCACTTCAGTCATAAATGAACAAAAGCGCACTCTGTAAAAGTGCGGACACGCACAGACGCACACATGTAAGATTCCAAATAATTCATACTCGTTTTAACTTGGAATTTTATTAAATTTTTTTGTGAAGTAAAATGTTGGCTATTTTTCTAACACTCGTTTTCGATCAAACTCCCCGTGTCCTACGTAGCACAGTGTGTTGAAAGTATTGCAGAAGAAATAAAATTTGAAGAAATGAATCTGCAATTTCCTAACGTAAAATTGCATTATATTCACATAATTTTGTCGACAAATGCCAATTTTAAACGATTGACAAGAAGTATCTTAATGTAGGTAGCAGAAAAGTCGGCGATTTTGAATGCAAAAAAAAATTGCAAATTGTTTCAGTTGTAAGGAATGAATCTGAATTTTCCTAACGTAAAATTGCATTATTTTCACATAATTTTACCAACAAATACCAATTTTAAACGATTGACAAGAGTACTTTAATGTAGGTAGCAGAAACGTAGGCGATTTTGAATGCAAAAAATAATTGCAAATAGTTTCAGTTGTACGTAAAAGGTCTTTCAATCAGTGGATAGGCAACGGTTACACAACACTCCGTTGCGATTCGGAATCACCGTTTGGACCGCGTTTAGCAGAAAGAAACCAAGCCACATCAGTCATTGCCAAAAACTGGGCAATTCAATTTTTTACAAGAGAACATTTGTGCGGATTCCTTTGAATATTTTAAATAATTTATTCGCACGGAGCAAAAATTCACTGAAATTTTCACCAAAATCTGCTTAACCCTTTTATGTAAAAAATGGAATAGCCCAACTAAATTTGGCAATAGCTGATGTGGCTTGGTTCAGTTTTGCTTACCGCGGTCCACTTCTGTCTCATCCACAAAAGCACGTATCTGCATAGGGAAACTAAAGGCACCTACGTTGTTCCTGAACTGAGCCAAAAATTGTAGTTCCTTGCTTCAAAACGTGGTCCAATTTTGCGACTCGATCGCGATTAATTGCAGTATGTGCAACTTGGAGCAGTGAGAGTAGCAGTAAAATCACTATTTTTTTTCTTTTTTAAAAAAAGAAAATTCGCTTAAAAATCAAACTTTTACTCTATTTAAATGGAATGTGTCTTTTCTTTTGAAGGAATCGATTGTTCTTACGATATCTCTGATTTGCTTGCAGGTCATATGTTCGCAAATTTTATCAGCTCGTGTGAAGAAACCTACGTTAGGCTTCGCAGAAACGGCAGAGGTCGCTTTTCAAACGGGACCAACCAAGTATAAACAATGGGCTGGTTTTGCAAGGTGAGTATTAGTTAGTGTTTGGACCATCGCTCTATTTCTGTGGCGTAGTATCTTGATTTATTTTGCGAGGAAAGCTCCGTAATTTTGAAGGATGCCTGGCATTCTTAATATGTTGGAGCGCCTTCAATTTCTTATGATACTGTGCAATACCTCTGGTGTGAAATACTTGCTTCAGACGCCGTGGCACGCTGCGGCGCAGCGGGCGGGTAGAGACCGCGAAACGCGCTTGGCGCCTACAAACCTAACAGGGATACTTCACGCATTGCGCAATGCGTGAAGTATCCCTGTTAGGTTTGTAGGCGCCAGTGCGTCGCCGCTCCGCTTTGTGTTAGGCTCTAATATTTAATCTCACGGAGTCAGCGTTTTTCAACTCATGATTTTGAAATGTTTGCACACTCTGTATGGACTGTTCTCATTTTAATTGATGAAAAAAAAAATATGTTTTAAAGGAAAATATAATGTGTGTTTTGTAAATATTAAGGTAGTTTCGTATCCAACTTTATGATTTCCAAAGTACACGAATTTCTTCACAATTTCTTATAGCCTTTTATAGCCAATGGTGATAAAGTGTAAAGCCCGACGATAGGAACTATAGCCCAACTGTATACTTTTTTATAGCTTCAAATAGCCCGGCTATATGATTTGCTCCGCTTTCTACAGCCAGCTGTACGATTTTCAATAGCCTTCATTAGTCGGCTATAAGAACTCCTATGGTATTTTGAAACGCAGCTCTTATCGCCAATTTTTACCAGGGTTGGCACGGAGAATGTCCAAAAATCGGACCAATCCGGAGCCAAGTATACACAGGAGAGAACTAAACCGCTCGTATATTCTCGAGAATAATATGGATGTGCTGTCGTGCTAAGGAAGAACGTCATATGAACCTTCAGGCGTTGCCATATTTCCTTCAGTAAAAACAAATTTACCAAAAAAATCGTGAATGTTTTTTTTTTCCAAAATTTTGTTAGCAATTTCATCTAAAATATCTGGAAATTTCGAGGAAAAGTATACTTTTTATCCAAAGAAATTTGGCAACTCTCGAATGTTCCAACGGCGTTCTTCCTTGGCATAGCAGTGCAATTCTTTCAAAATTCACAACCCAATTTTTTGATACATTTAATAGTTGCTCGCCTAAAAATTTTATATGATTTTTGCTAGTAGGCAGAAGAAAAATCAACGAAGTTTAAGTTCGAGATGCCTAATTTCTCAGAAAAATACAATTTACGAATGGAAATTTCGCAACGTTGAAAATTAGTTACGTTTTTTCGACTGGGAACATCAATTTGTCGATCAAAGTCATTCAACAGGCTCTTCGTCACATTACGTATTATACGTATGTACTAGGCCCCCTAGGGTTGTTTCAAATCGAAGTACTTGTTTTATAGACCCATAAGTAATTGACGCTATGCGTCAGGGGAATTCAAATTTGGAAGAGAGAGGCAAATCGCACCTTGAAGTTTTACCAAAATAAGGGTCTTGGAGGACAAGGCGCATAAGTGCAGTTTTTGCTATTTCAAGAAATACGTGTTTGAAGTTTCGAAATTACATGGATCCATATGGTGGGGACATATTTTACGACAACCAACATACATAACTGACATATTGATGCTTAAAATTTGGAATTTGGGAGCGAATTTTTCACAGAATATGCATTAAGACTAGCTTTACTTGAAATCATTAATAACTCAATTTTTTCAAAAACTGCACTTATGCGCCTTGTCCTCTAAGCCCCTCAAATGAGAGGGGAGATAAGAAGTTGGTGAATCGACAGGGTTCCCTCCCCCTTTACGTCCCCCCTTTACGTCCCCCCTTCTCTCACAACGGCCCTGAATTGACGAAAAATTAATCCTCCAATCAATAGAGATGAGAGAGGTAATTTTAAGCTAAGATGTATTTATTGTCCATCCGCCGATGGATATGTCGATATACGCGACGGAAGGGGAATGAAACGAAGGGGTAAGACCTAGAGGAGCTTAACTGCAACGCAATTTTTTCAAAATTTGCCTCTCTCTAACACATTTTGCCCTGGCAAAATGATGACGTCCTTGTCTTCACGCTGAAAAACAGTAATGGACTTTCCGCTAACTCTCAGTTATAAAAAATGACTATAACAATCGCGATGAAAGTGTTGGAGTCTGACTACTCAAAGTGTTCGATTGAAATGGGCGTTCATAAAGCATCGAGCGCGCATGCATGATTTGCGGGTAGACACCATCGCATCAACCTTCGACTGGAATCACCTGCGGTGACGGCTATTGTCACTTGTAAACAATGAGAGGAAAACGATTACACGGGTTACAATGTTATATTGTCGTTCATGATGTCTATTTGTCACATGGGCCATACGCGCATTATTTGCGATAGAGGCTTCAAAGAACATCTGCGATCCGGCTGAAATTCGCTCATATTGAAATGAATGCGTTTTCTCCTGAGGCCACCCGTACATTACATCAGGTGCTATTTCCAAATGTATATCCCCCCCCCCTTCTCTCGGTGACAAAACCACTTCAAGGTGAGGTTTAAGACCTTAATCTTGGAAAAAACTAAGGAAAAGGTGGTAAAGTTACGCAAAAATGCATTTGAACGCAAGGAAAGAAAATCAGCAAAATAAGAGTTTCCTCCAGTCTCCCTCCCTCCCGTTGCCCTTTCATCCAAAACCCCGCCCCCGAAAGAAGATCCTGGCTACGTGTCTGCGGACTGACTACTGAAACTGATAGACAAAGCTATAGGCAAAGTCGACATGGGGAGTATGGAGCGATTGTATTGGTTGAAACTGGTAGTTCCTATAGATTAAGGGAGAAAATAATGGACTGACTATAGGGTTTGTTGTAGATTGCCTTAGTATAATTAGTCCATTACCTTCCTCCTCTGTCCATGTCCTCTTTGGCTAAAGCTTTGTCTATCGATTTCAATGATCAGCCCACTGGTATGGTAACCTCGCTTCAGACGTTTCAAGATGGAGCCATTAAAAATTTTGCAATTCTATTATTACCTGACTCTTGTTATTCATCAATTCATGTATTTTCTACTTTCAGAGAGTTCGTGTATGGAGCTTTATTTGCAACGTATTATTTTGGAAATACAGTATACGTAGTGCTAATCGCAACATCGTTTAAACAGGTTCGTTAAATTTTTCTCCGCTCTATTTTGTTCTCGTTTAATCCTCAACAATATTTTGCTGTGCTTCAACACTGGCGCTTTATTGTAGGTACATCTGGTCAATGCATATTATGTAACTCCTTTAAATTTCAGTGCCTATTTTGCATACCTGATAACAATTTTGTGGCGAGAATTTTGAAAATCTGGTGAAGTTAAATTATTTTTAACGCCAAGAATAATACGAGGTCATTTTTTGACGTCGTTTTACTCAACGCGTAACTCGGATGAAACCAAGAGGAAGAGACCATGGGTGTCACTACCGCGGTGGAAGACGTCATAACCCGAATTTTTCAAAGCGCGATATCTCGGTTAACATTGAACGTAGAAAAATGCTGAATGTACAGATCTTGTTATTTTTGACTAATCTACAAGAATCAAGCATCAAAACACGATGCTGTGACCTGCGCAACTGACCCATTGAAAACTCGTGTCATCATCACCAGCAACCCAAGTAGCACAGATTGCAATAAGTAGTAACTGCATAGTAAAAAAAATATTGCAATTCCACTGAGTGTTGTATATGTTGCCTAGCTCCTGTTTGGTGGGGCCCTATTTGTTGGAACTTATTGCATTAAAATTGAAATAAGTTGCAATTTTTCATTGCATTGCATATTGCCTATCTTCCTGACACATAAAGCTCATTTTGTTGATTGTTTAAAATCGGCATAAAGTGACTAAATGATGTATAAATATTGCACTTTAATGTTAAAAAAATTACAATTTTATTGAAATCAAAATTCAATTTAATTTCAATATTTCCGTTGCACTGTGCTACTTGAGAAGAGCACGCTTCTCGAGGCTCATAGGCTCCCAGCCGGGAGGGTCAAGAACCGCGATTTCACCGCCGTGACCGAAATCCGACGAAACCGTGAAATCATTCATCGCGAATTTTCCGGATTCAACGAGCAACAAGCGACGTAACGCAGCCGCTGACTCGACGCAGTCATGTACGCGGAACTTGTCCGAGCAACTTTCATAATCTATCCCTCGGCGAATCACACTAAGTGTGCCTTTATGGTAAGTGTATGGACGCCAAGGCCCTAAGGGTCCACTTTTGATTGGTTCAGCCGTCTGAGGCTTCATGAGAGGAGCTTCGGGGACAAGACGCGTAAGTGCAGTTTTTGAAAAAAAAAATTGAGTTATTAATTAGTTCAAGTAAAACGAGTCTTAATGCATATTGTGTGGAAAATTCGCTTTCAAATTCCAATTTTTAAGCATCGATTAATCAGTTTGACCTTTTTTTCCGCCATAAGGATCCGCGCAATGGCAAAACTTCAAACACGTATTTCTCGGAATTGCACAAAAACTGCACTTCCGCGCCTTGCACTCCAAGCCCCATATGTACGTATAGCTCTTTGGGACCAAAAAATGGCGAAGGACTGGTGATTCAAAATCAGAAGATACTAGGAGGCTAGGTTTCCTGGCCGCTATGCAGTCCAACCCCCTGTGAGTGCTTAGTGGGACCCCGTGAGTTAATCTAAATACAGAAAGAACTAGAGGCCTGTGGCCGCTACGCGGCCGCCAACCACTGAGAAAAGCTACACGTAAAAAATAGTAGAACAACCCCGTTCAAGTTATTGAAGAGATGAATGGATTCAAAAGCCGATGGGTGCATGCGAAAAAAAGCATATCGTCTCTGATTGCAACGTTGTGTACCAATTTTTATGTTCTATTTTTTACACCGTTTTTAAAAAGCGCTACACACAGTTTTTTCGCGAATTTTCCTAAATGATCTCAAACGTGAGCATCGAAAATTTCTACGCGATATTTTCGTTCATTCTATTTTCTTTTCATGTAACAAAACAAAAAATTAAATATCCTCCGACTCCGAGTTTCTGAATCGTTACAATGGGGATACATATTTTCCCTTTACTTCTGCTAAAAACCGGAGCAGAGAGACAAGAATGATGACGCCTAATCCTAGTTTAACGGTGACTTTAGCGTCGCGCGAGCAAGGGAATGGAACGCCGTGGAGTCATCTTTGCAGTGTGGCGCGCCTTCCATTCGGCCAGCGGCAACATACCAACACCCATGATCGAATAGTTATCTCGTTACGCCTGCCGTAAATGAAATCAAAATTCGACGTCTGCACGCGGAAAAAAATGTTTTTATCTCCGCTTGCAACGTTGCAAATTTCTACTCATTATTTTTTTAATCAATTTTTTTTAAAATTAAGCTATCCAAAGTTTTTTTTAGAAGTTTTCGAGAAATTCCCGAAATGATTTGAAATAAAATCACAACAAATTTCGCCGTGACTTTTCCGATCGTGCTGTTTTCTTTTTATTAATTTACACGAATCAAGTTTTAGAATCGCTGCATCGTTTAAACATCGTCCGAGTTGCTAAATTGTTGCAATTAAGACACTCATTTACCCTTTAATTGTGGCAAAAACCGGGCATGAACCGTCATAAGAAATGGCGTGTGGTCCTAGTTTTGCGCTTTCACCCGTAGTCGAGTTCGAGTATTCATCGCAAATCACTTTCGCATTGCGTTTGGTGCAATGCGAGAAGTATTCGTGCAGTCTTGTAGGCGCTAATATGCGTTTGACGCCGACCGCACTGTTTGTGAAAATGCGTAAAGTATTCCTACAGTCTTGCAGGCGCTGATATGAGTTTGACACCGACCGCACCGTGTTCGCCGCGATTATTCGAAATCGCCTTAGGATAATCGCACCCATGTTGTGTTTCGACGCTGTATGAGCAGTCCAACGTTGCCTCGCTTCCTCCGATAAAAATTATTTTCTGAGAAAAATTAGACAAGTTTTCTATGTTCGCTTTTGTATATTGAATGGACCATTAAACAAGTTAGGAATTTAAGCAATATGACACATGATTCTTCAACAGAATTNAAAAAAAAGAAAAAAAGAACACACACAAGAAAATTAATAAGAAGATGCTATGTGAATAATAACTGGGTATATTGGTCCTTTGTTAAGAGGTTAATCGTCATTTATTTAATAGAATCACAATGTAACTGGGTTTACGGCATTTATTGTACATTTGTACATCTTTTACATATACTTCTATTCTCACGACATTGATACAATATCGTTCCTTTAAAATAAAAATCATAGAAAAAATGAAGAAATCGGTTATTGAAACAAGTTTGCTTTAAAAAATGCTCTTGAGGCGATGGTTTAATTCAATATTTATACATATAACTTCTAATTTTTGAACTGTTTCTCCATCAAATAACTGCATTGAGTTTCACTACATGATGAACCTAAGTCTGTTGTCAAAATTGACTGTATAATATTCCAAGGACCTTACTTCAAGTCGCAATCTTTTATCATTTGAATGCGCTCTGGGTAAGTATGTATGATCCTTTTTTACGGTGTAACATTATGAAAAGTATAGTAAGTCAGGTATAATAATCGATTTAAAATAATAACTCAGTACGTATACTGTAACAGTGATTGACTGACAAATGTGTATTACAGCCTAAGAAGTATTAAGTAACATCACTTGATTAGGGATTTGAAAACAATCAGAAAATATATTTCAATGTGTGCATAGTTTAGAAGTTGTAAAGGCATACGGCTCGACAGTGAAAGGATTTTAAGGAATAAATGTGTTATGGTATGGTTGAATAAAAGTCTGTATCGATAGGATAGGTTATTGAATTTAAGTAGCAAGCATGGAATGAAATAAAAATAATACTTAGACATTGAAGTTTCGGGGGAAAAACGTTTCGCATCAAAAGTAGCTTAAGGCATGGAGGAGGGTCGTAATTACATTTTTCCCCGATTCGGGATATCACGAGAAAAGTGCTCGAGTGCCCTATCGCTTCCAAATTCTTAATTCTTCAAGTTTTGCACCTTGCAGTTGACGTTAGTGTCATGACTACTGAATTATTTCATACATGAAGTCTCTTCTAAGCCCACGAATGCTAACACACGCAAAAATGTTAGTTACGACCCTTTTACTCAAGTCTGCTAATATATTTTTACAAAGGTAAATCATAGGCGGACCCAGACACCTCGAACGTGGGGGGGAAGGGTGTCTGAGGGCCTCCCCCAGAAATTTTTTTGAAGTATCAAATATGCAATTTGAGTCGATTTCGTCATGAATAATTGACAGATCTAAGCGTTTTCCCTCCGATCCTACCTTTTTTCTCCCTTCTCTTTCTCTTCGTCCTTTTTTTCGAGCAAACGGGGGAGGCGTGCTCCCCCTACGCCCTTCTTGGATCCGCCTGTGATTTAAATGAAAGGGAAAAGAAAAAAATAGTAATACAGAATAACATTTTCTGAACTGTAAGGCTTGGCTATCAAAATACGATCTTATATGGCTTGCATTTTGCAAAAAGGAACCAGGAGGATTGGAATGTTATTGCTAAGATTGTGCAACTTCTTTTGTTTTGGAAAAAAAAACCTGATTATTCATTTACAGTTGCCATTTTACTCGCTAAAAACTGTAAATTTAAGACAAAATTGCCATGTAATTTTCATATTTTTTCATGTTTTCAGTAATTTCATTGGAAATCATGAAAATGCACAATCTTAGCATCATCGCAATTCTTCTGGTTCCTTTTTGCAAAATGCAATCAATATGATCATTGGAACTGGCCTATTTTTTATGCGAGTGTTGGGTTCCTGCAAATACACAAAATGTGAAGGTGATGTTCGCCAACGGAGGCTTGATCTGTGGAGACCGATCAGGGCCGGATTTACATTTTTAGCGCCCTAGGCTAAACTTAGGGTGGCGCCCCTAAAAGTAGGCGCTCTTGTGGGGGGGGGGCGCTCCTCCCCTCCAGATCAGAGGGAGGATGTTAGGTGTCCGGAAAATGTTCAAATTCACCTTTAAGAAAGCACGATTTTAAACAGTTTTGAGATAGGTTTACGTTTGCAAGTTGGTTTTGGGAAATACGTTTTTGAATAAATTTTCAAAAATTGTGCGCCCCTCAGAATGTTGCGCCCTAGGCTATAGCCTATGTAGCCTATTGGTAAATCCGGCCCTGAGGATCCGCGTAATTGCGAAACTTCAAACACGTATTTCTCGGAATTGCACAAAAACTGCACTTACGCGCCTTGCACTCCAAGCCCCATATGTACGTATAGCTCTTTGGGACCAAAAAATGGCGAAGGACTGGTGATTCAAAATCAGAAGATACTAGGAGGCTAGGTTTCCTGGCCGCTATGCGGTCCAACCCCCTGTGAGTGCTTAGTGGGACCCCGTGAGTTAATCTAAATACAGAAAGAACTAGAGGCCTGGCCTGTGGCCGCTACGCGGCCGCCAAACACTGAGAAAAGCTACACGTACAATACCATAAAAAATAGTAGAATAACCTCGTTCAAGTTATTAAAGAGATGACTGGATTCAAAAGCCGACGGGTGCATGCGCGAATTTTCCTAAATGATCTCAAATGTAAGCATCGAAAATTTCGACGCGATATTTTCGTTCATTCTATTTTCTTTTCATGTAATAAAACGAAAAATTGATTATCCTCCGAGTTTCTGAATCTTTAAAATGAGGATGCATATTTTCCATTTACTTATGGTAAAAAACCGGAGCAGAGAGGCAAGAATGATGACGCGTAATCATAGTTTAACGGTGACTTTAGCGTCGCGCGAGCCAGAGAATGGAACGCGGTGGAGTCATCTGTGCAGTGTGACGCGCCTTCCATTCGGCTAGCGGCAATATGCCAACACCCATGGTCGAATAGTTATCTCGTTACGCCTGCCGTAAATTAAATCAAAATTCGAAGCCTGCACGCGGAAAAAAATGTTCTTATCTCCGATTGCAACGTTGCAAATCTCTACTCATTTTTTTTATTTTTGATCGATTTTTTTTTTTTAAATTAAGCTACACACAGTTTTTTTTTAGAAGTTTCCGAGAAATTCCCGAAATGATTTGAAATAAAATCACAAAAAATTCCTTTTCCGACTTTTCCGATCGTTCTATTTTCTTTTTATTAATTTACACGAATCAAGTTTCAGAATCGCCGCGTCGTATAAACATCGTCCGAGTTGCTAAATTATTGCAGTTAAGATACTCATTTACCCTTTAATTGTGGCAAAAACCGGGCATGAACCGTCATAAGAAATGGCGCGTGGTCCTAGTTTTGCGGCGATTTTAGCGTCGCGCAATCCAGGGAAGGGAGCTCAGTCGAGTGTCAAGTGATCTTCACAACGCGATGGACCTTCAATCCAGTTAGCGGCAATGTGCTTCCACCCGTAGTCGAGTAGTTATCGCAAATAACTCTCGCATTGCGTTTGGTGCAATGCGAGAAGTATTCATGCAGCCTTGTAGGCGCTAATATGCGTTTGACGCCGACCGCACTGTTTGGCGAAATGCGTAAAGTATTCCTACAGTCTTGCAGGCGCTGATATGAGTTTGACACCGACCGCACCGTGTTCGCCGCGATTATTCGAAATCGCTTTAGGATACTGGCGCCCATGTTGTATTTCGACGCTGTATGAGCACTCCAACGTTGCCTCGCTTCTCCCAATAAAAATTGTTTTCTGAGAAAAAATGGACAAGTTTTCTATGTTCGCTTTTTTAGATTGGATGGACCATTAAACAAGTTAAGAATTTAAGCACTCTGATACATGATTCTTCAACAGAATTCCACGCAGAACACGATTCGCGCAACGAAAACTCTCTGAAAAACAAGCGGCTTCAAAATGTTTTTAAATCATAAAAATCACTCATGATATTAAATGCTAAATAAACTGAAAACATGCGCCATGAAATTAAAATAGTTAAATTTATGGAGAAAAAATGGTGGACTTCATGGTTAAATTTATGTTATTGCATTAAACATTTAGTTGCAAATTTATTTAAGCATTTCCGTTGTGTTGTGCTACTTAGGCAAATGAGGGACGGGGGAGGGGGGTGGATTCTCGCGCGGGAGTTGAAAGGAAAGATAGATTGAATGGAAAATACAAATTAGTTAATGTTTTCGTGCCTGGTAACTAACGGAGACAATGTTTTTAGGTTTTGTCTTCTTTTCTGCTTCTGCGTTAAAGTCTCCAAAGATATTCACGTTCAAAAAACCCGTAGCGATGAAAGAATATAATGATGCATCATGTTTCTTTATGAAACTTTTACACATTACCGTGATGTAACTATGGATTTCTTCCTTTTCTTTTCTCCTCCTTCTTCTTATTCTTCTCCTTCCTCAATTCTTTTTCTGAGCACTCGCGTTACCAACCGATTAATAGTAAACCATCAGTGCTTTTGAACCCACATTTTAACTCTCAACCTCCATCCGGCATAATAGCATAACTTTTAAAAACTGGAATAAGTCGACGCAAATGTGGCACAAGTAATCGTATCTGATCTGAAACGAGTACGCCGGCACGGACCGTCTGACTATTATAAGGGAATAATACCGCTATTTGACCACATGGGAGCTTGTATTGCCTACACTGGACATTGAGGGCGGACTAATCTTGCGCAAATATTGTCTTCCTGTGTGGTTAAAAGCTATTTTTTCAGTGTATAATCCCAGCGAGAGTGCCATTCCACGTCAATACCACTATTCAACCATGTGGGAGCTCGTGTTGCCTAAACTGAAATTGAAGGGGAACTGACACGGCGTTAATGTTCCCCTTCAGTTGGCCGCCGGCTCCAGCCGGCTTTTCTCGTTTGTGTGGAAATCTTCCTTTTTTGTTTGATTTTCGAGTAACCATGCACTTCCACCATACCACTATTCAAATTATTTCTTATACCTGCTTCTTTCCTTCTTTATCTTTCTCTCGTATTCTTCTAATAGTTCTAATTTTTCATTCCGACTTTATTTTTTTTTCTTTTCATCCTTTGCTTCCCTATTCTTCTCCCTTATTTTATCTCTTTCCTTCACTTCTTGTACTTCTTTCTTTTCTTCTTTTTTCTATTGTTAACTGCGATCTTCTTCTTTATTTTTTCTCCTTCTTATCTCATTTTTATTTTTCATATTCCTCTTTTGTTCCTCCACGTTGAAAACATTGAAGTGTTGTGAGGAAAAATATGCGTCGGCTCAAAAATAAATATCTCAAAAAATGCAAGTGTAATTTTTCTTTTTGATTATGCAACTATAAAACAACAACACAAATTTTCAGCTAAGTAGATGGCCATGGCCAAGTAACGTAAGACCGCTCATCTTGGTTTGCGGTTTTTCAGATTTAAGGCTGTCTAATTTTATTTTTTTACCCCACGATGTCTTCGTCATGACTCTGGCACTTTTCGTGCCAGAGAAGATTTTTGCTCTATCAACTAAGATAATATCCCGAATATTTCGTGCCAAGTGTGATTTATATTTATTAGGCAAATAGAGTCTGGCAACTGAGCTCTTAAAATACTTAAGATCTATTAATATGAATGCATTAACTGATTTGAGTTGATTCGTGACACGTTTTTCCTGCGTTTGTCCTAGCCTGACTGCTAAACACTTCAAGTTACAACATTGTAAAATGTCACGCCGGAGAAGATATGCTTTGCCGCGTGCTCTCAGATCGAAACCAAACCGATATGCAAACAAGAAGGAAAGTTACGGTCGTTTATTTAATCATAGGCATAAAAAACAGATTAATTACTCTGTAATAAATGGTAAGATAGGTGGACTGTCCTAAAAAAAAAATTACAAATCGGAGCGTAAATTTTGAAACAACACAATCGAGATACGTGCTTTTGCGGCTCACTAATTGACCGCGGCGATTCAAAGTTGGCAACACTACTTTTCCTCCATTTTCCAATTTTTCAGAGAATTTTGTTTGTAATATATAAAAATTTCATGAAAATATAAGCATTATACTCTCTTCAAAATTACATATTTTCTGAAAGGAAATTTTGCAACATTAGAATGCTCATGCGGCGATTTTCCTTAGCACGGCAGTATTATGATCTCAAATAAAATAGGTTGGGAGTTAATCTTAGGAAGAACCAAATTTACCATCGTCTTATTCTCTGCGAAATTTTACCCGGGAAAATATAATGAACGTAAAAATCCCTCTGTACGCAACACGTCCATTGTTCTAACCGAAGTCTCAGGCCATACGCGCGTTGCACGTGCAAAAACTCTGCCCTGCTAAGTAAACACGTCTTATGAGCATTCGAATGTTGCCAAATTTCCTCTCAGACAGTAGTAAATTTGGAAAAAAAGTTTTGAATTATTTTCCTTGAAATTTTCAGACCGGTTGGATAAAAGTATGAACTAAATCCTCGGTAAAATTGAAAGCGAACTATTCACCATTCTTCCTGAGATTTCAAGCTGTGTCGAAGGCAATTTGGCAACGCCTCATGGTTCATACGGCGTTCTTCCTTAGCACGGCAGAACTGATGCTTGTCATTCGGGAGGCTCATCAAACACAGTGTTTGAACTGGTATAATTATAAATTGCTCTTTTCCTGAGGGAACATTATAATTTTATTGCCTCCTTGACTTCGTGGTTGGTGTCCGGTGTTCGACCTACGTCCGGAACCTTGTCTCCGAAGCGTCTATATCGAATCGTGAATCGTGCACAATAACGCCCGACATTGTCATTGGTGTCACCGCGTGCATGCATCTTACTCGCCTTTTAAGGCAATAGAATCTATTGCAGAATCGCATTTTCGTGGTTGAATCCTATGGATCGTCGGTATAGCGTCACTTTCCGGCTGGCAAATGTATCATTAGTATACCATGTCATCACCTTCCGACCAAAGCATCACAAGCGCCATGTGACGTTTTAAGATTTCCGCCGTCATTTTTATTTTTTTAAAGGAAATTTTTGGTTGAATTTGTTTGAAAATTTTACCAAATTTCATCGGCAGCACAAAGAAAATTCAGTGAAATTTTCGGACAGTTTCGTTGGAAAATTAATCGGGACAGAACTTCCCAAAGAGGCTCGGAACTTAAAATAAAATTCGCTTCATGATTGTTTGCAGGTAATGGACAGCAATTTGGGACTAGACTGGGACATTCGGATTTACATCCTCTTCCTGGCCCTTCCACTGGTTCCTGTGGGAATCATCAGGACTCTGAAATACCTCGTGCCTTTTTCCGCGATGGCTACAGTTTTCATCATGGTCGGGTTAGGGTTCACGATCGCCTACACGCTAGAGGATCTACCCCCGGTCACAAGCAGGCATTATTTCACATCGTGGCACCAGCTGCCTCTGTTTTTCTCGACCGTGCTATTCGCCATGGAGGGCATCGGAACGGTAAGTGATTCACTCAGCCGGCCGATTATTTAAATTGATAGACAAAGCTATAGACAAAGAGGACAAAAGAGATATGGAGGGATCCTATCGGTGGGGGCGGTTGGTTGCAATGGACAAAGAAGGTAGGTAATAGACCATAACTGATGGCATCTCACGAGAAACCCTACGATTAGTCCATAATTTTCTCCCTTAGTCTATAGGAGCCACACATTTCAACCAATAGGATCGCTCCATACTCCCTATGTCTTCTTTGTCTTAACTTTGTCTATCAACTTTAATAATCAGCCCGCTGAGTGTAGTCTATTTCGATATGAAGCAGGTAACTGGTAACATGGGAGGATCATGAGATTATGAGAGCGCAAAGCCACTTTTTCTGACTATCAGGCTCAGACAAATTGAACTCTAAACGGTGCCAGAAACCGCAACATGGTTAATCTGGACTTTGACTCACTTGGCAACTCGAGACATACAAAACTTTAAGGTTTTGAAGTGGTTTAATTGGTTTAATTTCTTGTAAAATTTCCTTTTGGAAGCATCCCTTAAGATTTAAAATGTAACGAATTAAACATCACAATTTGCAGTTTTAGTTAAAAGTTTTATGTCTGACCTCTCCGATTGACTCGATCCACTGTGCTACGAGTTAACGCGGGAAGAGACTCGAGTTTTTGATGGAGAAAAAAGAGGTAAAAACAAAAAATCATGAAATTAAACCAGTTGCGCAGCTACAACCGATAACTCTTATTTTCAGCGTATAAACCCGGCATATTTTTCTCTGGAATGGTTGGTATTTTAAATGATAAACGGCATTTTGATCGCAATAAAATCGTTCTTTCGCAGGTGATCCCCATCGAGAATTCGATGAAAAACCCCGGACACTTCTTGGGCTGCCCCGGAGTCCTGAATATCGCCATGATCATCGTCGTAAATCTGTATGGATGTGTTGGCTTTTTCGGATATTTGAAATACGGAGATGAAACGAAAGGCAGCGTCACTCTCAATCTACCTGCAACAGCGTAAGTAATCTGTCTTCAGTGGCGTGGCGTGCTTTGCGATACATCGATTGATCTGCCATTTAATCCTATGGAAAAGGATCGATAAACATGGTGTTCGCAATGAACCCTTAATAATCGATTCTTTACCAGCCTCATGTGGAGAAATATCGATAATCGACTATTCACGCCGTGCCACTGCCCGATTTACTGGTCAGATATGAAAGAATCGTTCCTATTCCAATGAACTTGGTCTAATAAATGCCGATTTTAAACAATCAACATAATGAGTTCCATGTGTTAGAAAAATAGGCAATTTTCAATGCAATTAAAATTGCAACTTACTTTGATTTCCTTGTGCAATATATTTCAATAAGAAGTGTTCCTTCAATTAGTAGATATGCAACTTATGTAACACTCTGATGCAGCAGCAATAGTTTTCCTTGTAAATGTAATATTACAATGTATTGCAATCTGTGTTAGTTTGGTTCTGATCTACTATAAAATATAATGTTTTGCCTATGATCTGCTTTTTGAAAGCGCGAGTGCCCCTATTATTATACGTTACATATACTTTTATGATGCTTTAAATCTATATAAATAAAACTGTAAAGGTCAAAATCATGTGATCCTTGATTCTGGGGAACCGCCGGGCCGATTCCCTTGATATTTGTTGCAAACGAAAGCTGTCAATGTCCAGATGATGCCAAAACTCCGAAACTTTCGGTATCCCCTTTTGAAAGTTTTCCTGGAGTTTTTTTAACTTTTATGCCCTAATTTTCCCCATGAGAGTGACCTCTGTGTGTATATGATACTCTTCGCGAACTACTTGCTGATTGATTCATCTCTCGTGGCTTCTTAGGAAAGAGCTAATATCTTTCTATATATCTGTTGGCAAAATTGCCCATTCCGCGGACTGCCCGATATTTTTGCCCAGTCAGTGAGCTGGGCAGTCAACTCACGGACTGGCCGGTCTATAGTCTGAAAATTACCCTAATGTACATTACGCCGATCGTAAATATTTTGCCAGATTTTTAATGACACATAAATGTATCAGAATGAAAACTGATACGATTTATAAAAATATGCAAATTAAGTGAATCAAGTTCACGATTAATTTTTTTTCAATTTGTTTTAGGAGTTTTTATAAAATATTTCACCAACGGGGTGTGACATATCCACAATGAGTCATTGATTAAACTTATTTTGGCCACGATAATCTTTTGCTGTTCCAGATTAGCTGAGAGCATAAAAATCCTCGTCGCTCTGTCGATTCTTTTCACGTACGGACTTCAGTTCACCGTGCCGACCGAAATCGTGTGGAAGAGGATCAGCCATAAATTTTCGGAAGAAAATCAAGAGAAAGGCTACTACATCATGCGAGCATTCATGATTCTGGGCACAGGTATCGACTCGTTCATTTCAATTCGCATGTTAATCCGACTATCTCAGACCTTTATGTCATGCACTGAGAAAAAACTATGGTTTATAAACCTATTAGAGGTAAATATGGAACACCTATAATAGTCGTAAATAAACTAATGATTCTCGGTCTGTGAACCATACTAAGGTCTCTGTACCTAATTAAGGTACCCCGTACCATAACTAAGGTATATGTGCTATTATTATATGTAGAGGTACTACTATTAGTGGTGTTCCATATTTACCTCTAATAGGTTTATAAGCCATAGTTTTTTCTCAGTGTGCACAGGCAGATATCGACTATTTCATGCAGTATCGATTTATATCCATCAGAGGCATTGAAAAATTCAGGTTAACGTTTGGATCCAATTCGACCAACAACAGCGCAACATTTTTGAGAAGTTCTCATTTACAAAATAAATTGCGACCTCGATGTTGGATTAAGAACAACTTATAAAGAAAAATTTATAAGAGTTGGTCTGTTCGCCCAAATAAATCTTACATGATCTGAGTTCAGACCGGCGTGAGCCAGGTCAGTTTATCTTTGATTAAATAATTCTGCGCTACAGTACGAAAGGATCTAGAGAAGTAAAGTTTTTATATAGAACTATATTAGCATATTCAATGCTTTAAGCTTAGAACTTATTGTTAATCAAGTAGCACTAATGAAGCTTCAATGCAGCAAATGCAGCTTCATTCTGTAGTGGCGTGGCGTGCTTTGCGATACATAGATTGATTATCCATTTAAACCTTTGGAAAAGGATCGATAAACGGGGTTCGTAACGAACACCTTAATAATCGATTCTTCGTCATAGTTTCAAATGGGAAATCGATCATTCCCGCTTCGCTACTGATAACGATCACCCAGAAACGCCTTTTGTCTGAAGGTCAATTTTTATTTATTATTCGTGGTTTTTCATGAGTAAAGGCACCTCGGCCTACAAAGGCAACATTTCAGTCGAGTAAATCTATAAAGTTAGGTTTGAAAACAAGATTATCAGATTTCGACAAAAAACTTTCACCGATGTTTTAAAAAAATAGTTGCGAGAGGTTAAGTTCACCTCTGCTAATAGAGAGCGTTTTATTCTGTTCTTTTCCTGCCCTGCGAGCATGAGTTACTAGAATTTTAAATAAAATTCTCTTGAAATCATATTTTTTCTTTGAAAAGGGAACTTTAAACTGCTATAGCTACGAGTTTGGTTTTACATTAATGGACGCTTTGTTTTTTTTTGCCTCAAAATGTTCATGCTGCTTTATTTTCTGGTATATCAGTATCTTAATTTTGACTTTTTGCATTCTGAGCTCTCTCTCTCTCTCTCTCTCTGCTGAGCTCTCTCTGTTAAATTTTTTATTTTTTATTTTATATAATGGTTTCATTCTATTAAATTAATCAAACCTCTTTGAAAGAATATTTCCCGGATATTTTTGTTTGGTGAAAGGTTTTGAAGCCCATGCGATAGACAACGCCGGAGTAATGAACAGAGGCTGATCCAGCAATTTGGCAACACCGGATTTCCTCCATTTAAACCTATGCTAAACAATCGATTCTTGTCATAGTATCTGGCCCCTCCAAGAATCGATACATTTCCATAGGTTTAAATGGAGGGATTCCGGTGTTGCCAAATTACTAGATCCGCCAATGGTAATGAAAAATAATAAAAGACAGATAAAATAACAGTTGTGTGAACTCGCTGTTCAAGTCTCCGTGGGTATTATTACCTCTAATATCTCATTCGAATCACAATCAGTCTTGACAAACGGCGCGCGTGCCGCGTCGTAAGCTGCCAAGCATAGCGACGGCCAGTGAATCAAAAGCGACCATTTTTCTCTTTTTTCAAATACTTTAACGGCTGCTTCGGCGTCAGTCTCGTGCTGGTCAATCCGAGCAGTGGCATGGCGTGCTTTGCGATATATCGATTTATCTGCCATTTAAACCTAGAAAAGGATCGATAGACAGGGGTTCGCAACGTACATCTTGATAATCGATTCTTTACCAAAGCTTCAAATGGGGAAATATCGATAATCGATCGCCTCGCATTGAATCCGAGCCGGTTTAATGGGAATCAGCAAAGGCTGGGCAATTAATCTTAGATAATGAGTGGGTCAGTTGTGCGCGCCCAAGAATCTTGCTTTGACCAGGTGGACACAATCCCAGTCAGTATAAAAGCTTTATTTTTGACCGTCTACGAAGAACGGACCCTACTCAAATTGGGTCATTGATATCAACTCAGGAAAGAGTCCTCTGCAAATACTGACCCCAACATAAAAGTTCAAGAAAATTAACCATTTGCCGCTTTTTCACTATCGTCCGAATAATACTAACTTGTCAGTTCATATAAATTTTTAACTCTTGGCATGAATAACAATCGATGCTTGGTGATTCAACTAACAAATTAGTTAAACAATTAAAAAAAAAAATTCTTGCGCATGACTGCTTATTATAACATTTAAAATGAAACATAATTTGCACATACATATATAATTTATCGTAAAATTTTCTTTCATTAGTATGCAATTTAAGCAGGTGGGTCAAGTATTCCTTCTTTCCGTTGTATCCTGTAAGATCTATTGACCGTCACGAACAAATTGTGTGGCAATCCTGCATTGTAATCGAGGGGCTCGGAGGACAAGGCACATAAGCGCAATTTTCGCTATTTCCAGAGATACGTCTTAGAATTTTTGAAATTACCTGGATCCTCATGGCGGAGAGAAAGTTCTAACTGATTTTTTGTTGCTTTAAAGTTGGAATTTTTTAGCAAACTTTTCACAAAATATTCATTAAGATTAGTTTTACTTCAAATCATTATCTCAATTTTTTCAAGAATTTCACTTATACGCCTTGTCCTCCAAGCCCCTTAGTAGGACGTGCGAAAACCGCTAAAGTCCATTTTTCCAATATTCAGTTTTTTTGAGTTGATAATACTTGTAAAAAGTCGATACAACCATAAAAGCGATGAAAAGACTCGTTTTTGGATTAAGATAACCTGGAGACGAGTATTAATGCCACTTTCATGGTAGCATCCAACTCCGAGAAGTATTATCAACTCAAAAAAAATGAAGACTGGAAAAAATAGACATTAGCGGTTTTCGCACGTCCCGACTCAATCGTGCTCGAAAAGGTTATTAACCGCTAACAACGCTTGAAAATAGATAATTTGCGTACAATCTAACCTAACTTACTTCGCAACTTACATTACTTAGAACTTTTTACGTCTCGATGTTTAACCTTACCCAATGAAGACTCTCTGGTCCGTTAATGCCAGAACCTCAAGGTCCTCCACTCAAAAAAAGGTACCTATGACTCTGAGACCCATAAAAAATGGCTCGGAGATCCATAATTTCTAACCAAAGTGACTTACCGTCCACAGTATGGCTTTCTGAGCCATACTTTATTGGTCGTGAACCTATAAGCATGGCTCCACGAACTATATTTTACGGCTCCATGATCCATAACTCGGCCGCCAAGTCACTCTTCCCATACTTATTTTTTGAGTGAGATGATTGGTTGAAATTTCAACCAATCAGAACCCAGGATTCTATCACCGTGTCTTGAAGGGCTTCCGGTTGGTCGAGCCTTCGACCGTGGTGTTGCATGGCGGTGGGATGGGATTGAACTTTCGATGAAGAGTGATTTGATTTGTTGATGTTGACAGTGGTGGTAGCGGCGGCGATCCCGAACCTGTCGCCGGCGATCTCCCTCGTGGGCGCCATTTGCTTTTCGACGCTGGGCCTCTTCTGTCCGGCGATAATCGAGACGATCACCTTCTGGGACGATGACGTCGCCACGCCGGGCATCCCGTGGAGGTGGATCAAAAATATGGTCCTCGTTGTCGTCTCCATATTCGCTCTCGTTTCGGGCACCTACGCCAGCATCATAGAAATGAGTCACGAGTACTCGTAAAAGGTGCATACAATGCATGCTTACTCATTTCGACCCGTATTTAGACGTATTGGACCACTAGACAAGGTACGAATTTCAGCACTCTGATATATGATCCGTGACCAAAATTTCACGTAGAGCACGATGCGCACAATGAAAATTATCGAAATCAACTCCTCACAACGATATTTAATGATTCTTGATGCGTGAATTCAAACCACCCGCTCATGAAAACTCAATGCTCTACGTGATTCACATCGCGCGCTAAGCGTTATCATGGCAGTCTCTGCGCAATGTAAAAATCTGGCAACCTCAATCTTGACGCTTTGGCTCAGCCATAGCAAATTGCCTATAGTTCGAACAACACATGGTGGGAAATGAATATTGCTCGATTAAGAAACTTGCTGAGACCGTTGTCGTGCGCGATTTGACTCACGTAGAGCTTTGAGTTTCTTGTGAGCGGGCAGTTCAAATTCCTCGTAACCAATGTGAAATGAAAAGGTTGATATCTTCGTTAGGAGTTGGTTTCAGTAATTTTCGTTGCGCGAATCGTGTTCTACGTGAAATTTTAGTTAAGAAACATGTACCGGAATGCTTAAATTCGTACCTTGTCTAGTGATCCTTTCTGAACTATGTGCATTATTACGTGAACCCTGTTATGCATATCGACGGTGAAACTACCAAACCACGTATCTCGTTTGCTTAAAAATCTACGCTCACATTTTATTTTTTTGAAGTAGACCAAATCAATATCATTCCTTGAAATTTTCACGGAATTTTCTCCGCACAAAGAGGAAAAATCACAGAAATTTTCAAGACTGAATGTTAAGTAGTTTTTCATTTAAAAAATGAAGTATGACAGGAAGTCTGCAACGTCGCAAACCGAGATACGTGGTTTGGTACTTTAACCGTCGATATGAGAACTTGTCTGTATCAATAGCGGATGTGAAAAATTACATCTTCGAAACACATTCAGAAAACTGTTTTAGCATCGAGAAAATGAGAAAATACTTGAGATGTGATCTTCGAGATCTGTACATTATGCCAGAGCCAAATATATTAAATTTTTGTGTGAACAAAACCGTTTTTTAAGCATGTTTCGAAAAGGTAATTTTTCACATCCGCTATTGTTACAGATAAGTCCTCATATATTCTTATGGATCTCGGGGCTCATGTCTTAATGCACATAGTTCCGTTTGACAGAAATACGTCCATTTGATTAAGAGAACTCAAGTTTTCATGGCGAACCTTTTATTTTTTTCCATACTCGTGAGTCTTCTCGAGTGCTGCCATTTTTTTAACAGAGATTGTGGGGTTCCCGGAATTGAAACCGATTTCCCAAAGTTCCAAAAAAATTCAGATTTTTCTCAAAAGTTCCAAAGATTGATGCATCATGAAATTTGATATTAAAAAAAAAAAAAAATCAACACACTTGAAAAAAATCGGTCAAACTGACGACAAACCCCCAAAATCCCGGGAATTTCCAAGAGTTCGGGATAATTCAAGTTCTTTGAAAAGTTCTGGAATTAATTCTGAATTCCAGGATGGCAGCCTTTTTGCTCAAAGAGTAGGTTCTGCATATTGTCTCTGTGTGGCAATTACAAGTGTTTCTCCATGAAACTCGAATAATTTATCACATTTTTACAAAATTCTGTACTAGGATTGAACTGAAAGTACTTACAAATTATCAGAGTCGTATATCATATTATCATTTTCTTATTTCTAGAAAAAAAATTATATTTTAGGAATCCTTCAACCCACACTATAACGTGAGTTACATCGTAAAATTTTGAAATCAGTCATGAAGGATCGAAGGTTTGGGGACCTAAAAGATTAAAGATTTAAGATAGTAAGTATCAAGTTACAAGAAAATTAAGATCGAGTGTAAGAATCTGTCTTGCTTGGCTATGTCCATACAATGGTCATGTAAAGGCTTCAGATTTTGCCTCGTTCAACTAACATTTAACCTCGCAGTGTGAAGTGTCCCATCTTCAAATGTTTCGCTTGATCCTTTCTTTGATAGCTTTGTTGCTTCCGTTGTACATTTTCTTTGGTTTTAATTCTTGAATAATGATGTCCAATAACATTTGTCATAAAAATATTTGCAGCTTTCCAAGGATCAGTGATGTAAATTGTAAATGTAAATTTAGGATTTAGGTCATGCTAAGCTGCCCCTGGAAAGTACCGAGTCCTAATTTATTTCCTACTCGAAAATCGCATTTGACAAATACGTACGACAGATCAGTAATAGTACTTTTCAGGCGCCAAAAATTTACAAGGATTTATGGCAATAGTCTCATAAAATTTACTATTAAAATCAGCCAAAAGGTCCACGTAGCAATTTCATATAGTTGTTTTCATCATTCTATTTAAAAGTCACACGAAAAAAAATAAGAAAGTCGTCAAAACCAGCGGCTGGTTAAAAATGCGTCAGCCGCCGCTCACTGGAAAAAAAACACATTGGATCTAGAGTCCAGACTATTGAAAACATTGACAAGAAAAATACTCTTGATTCAATCGGATTTTTGCTTGAATCAAAACGAAATTCGCTTAAATTAAGAGGCTTGGTTCTTGATTTAAGCTAGATTCTGATTGAATCAAGAGTACTTCCCTGGTAAAAATTAGCGATAAATGCTGCGTTTCAAAATACCATAGGAATTCTTATAGCCGGCTAAAGAAGGCTACAGAAAATAATATAGCTGGCTGTAGAATGCGGAGAAAATCATACGGCCGGGCTATACGAAGCGATGAAAAATTATACAGCCGGGCCATAGTTCCTATCGCCGGGCTTTACACTTTATCGCCTGGCTGTTGCTTTTTCGCCATCGGCTATGAAAAATTGTATAGAATTTCGTGTGCTTTGGAAATCGTTAAGTTTGATACGGAACCACCTTAATATTTACAAAACACACATTATATTTTCCTTTAATACATGCTTTTTTTCATCAATTGAAATGAGAATAATTCATACAGGATGTGCAAACATTTCAAAATCATGAGTTGAATAATGCTGACTCCGCCAGATTAAATATTAGAGCCTAATACAAAGCGGAGCGGCGACGCACTGGCGCCTACAAACCTAACAGGGATACTTCACGCATTGCGCAATGCGTGTAGTATCCCTGTTAGGTTTGTAGGCGCCAGTGCGCTTTTTTCGCTGGCTGCCCGCCCGCCGAGCCGCGCCGCAGCGTGTCACGGCGCTTGAAGCAACTATTTCACACCAGAGGTATTGCACAGTATCATATGAAACTGAAGGCGCTCTAATATATTAGGAATGGGAGGCATCCATCAAAAGTACGGAGCTTCCCTCGCAAAATAAATCAAAATACTACGGCTCAAAAAGAGAGCAGTAGTTCAAAAACTCACTAAGTCCCAGCATCCGTAATTAGTAACGATTAACATGCACTTTATCGCCTGGCTGTTGCTTAATCGCCATCGGCTATAAAAGGCTATAAGAAATTGTGTAGCCGGCTATAGAAGCTATTGGAAATCTTACAGCCGGCTGTAGGTCTATGGTATTTTGGGACACAGATTCAACTGCCAATTTTTACCAGGGTTTCTCTTGTCGGTATTTTTAAGAGTCTGGACTCTAGATCCAATGTGTTTTTTTTCTAGCGTTCGATAACTACCGGGTTAGTCGTGTCCTCTACCGCGGTAGTGATTCGTAACCACCGCACGGAAGCTGGCGTATTTTTAACTAGCCGCTGGTCGTGACGACTATCCTATTTTTTTCCTGTGTATGCTGTGAATAGACTCTGGTCATAATTAGAAGCAGAGACAAGAGACCCTCCACTAGTATCTTGGCCATTGTGGAAGCTTTTACTTTCGGGACTTCAGCATTCCACTGTTGACTTACCTACATTGTTGATGTTTAGTAACGTGTTGGCAGTTTCGTTTTGCAAACAAGTCGAAAATAGCCGAAGTTTGCGAAACTTGTTTGGCTCATGACGTCACCCGAAGCTCATCATTGACCATGTAGGTAGGTCAACAGCCGAAATTGAGGTGATGACTGTTGCTCCCTAATAATTGTCCATAAGGAACTGTTGAATCCCCGAAAGTAAAATCTACCACCTGTCGCTAGGAGGCCAGTGGAGGGTAGAGTACCTATATAGCGAGAGTATGGACAGATCGCTTCATGGAGGGCTTAGGGCCCAAAAGTGCAGCCACCCTTCTAACCAACTTCTAACGCACAAAATTTCACTGCCAGTCTGCACATTCCAATTCTAACCAATAGGGCTAAGAATGTACATAAATGAGCCTTCTTCCGCAAAAATGAGTAAATTTGTGCAACAAGTAAGTCAAGTACGTGCTTTATAAACGATGGTTCGTAACAATTGTATTAGTAAAGCGCTCTGATTAATTGAGATTCATAGGTTGGCTGCATTTCTGGGCCCTAACTTTATCCGCGGAGACATCGGTGAAGGCCTGATGGATTTTCGGAGTTTCACATCTGTCTATACTCTCGCTATACAGGTACTCTAGTGGAGGGTCTCTAGTCTCTGATTAGAAGTGTCGATTCACAAAAGTATATGAACAATTAACATTTTTTTTTTCATTTTTACTTTTTGACAGTGGTGGTGGCATCGGCTGTGCCAAACTTGTCGCCTGCAATCTCCCTCGTCGGGGCGATCTGTCTCTCGACGTTGGGCCTTTTCTGTCCAGCGGTCATCGACACCATCACATTCTGGGAGGAGGACATCACCGCTTCGGGAATCCCGTGGCGGTGGGTAAAAAATGCCGCCATTGCCATAGCCGCGCTGTTAGCTCTCCTCTCGGGCACCTACGCGAGTCTCATCGAGATGATCCACGAGTACTCGCAGCTACCACCAATCGCGCCAGTGGAGTGATTTTCAATCGGTCTCCACAGATCAAGTCTCCGCGTTGGCGAACATCACCTTCACATTTTGTGTATTTGCAGGAACCCAACACCCGCATAAAAAATAGCGACGGTGAAAGTCGGCAATCACATAACTCGTTTGCGGTGTCTGAAAATCTCCGCCTCTACGTCATTTTTTTAAAGGAGAACAAATTGATATTATTTCTTGAAGTTTTTGCAGAATTTTCTTCGCATTGAGAAGAAAAATCACGACAGTTTTAAAGAATTGCCGTTGAGTAGTTTTCCATTTAAAAAATAAAGTATGACAGGAAGTCTGCGACGTCGCAAACCGAGTTATGTGATTGCCGACTTTCACCGTCGATAGGCCAGTTCCAATGAGCATATGGATTGCATTTTGCAAAAAGGAACCAGAAGAATTGCGATGATGCTAAGATTGTGCATTTTCATGCTTTCCAATAAAATTACCGAAAACATGAAAAAATATGAAAATTACATGGTAATTTTGTCTTAAATTTACAGTTTTTAGCGAGTAAAATAGCAACTGTAAATGAATAATCAGGTTTTTTTTTCCAAGACAAAAGAAGTTGCACAATCTTAGCAAGAACATTCCAATACTCCTGGTTCCTTTTTGCAAAATGCAAGCCATATAAGATCGTATTTTGATGGCCAAGCCTTACAGTTTCAGAAAATGTCATACTGTATTGCTATTTTTTCTTTTCCCTTTCATTTAAATCACAGGCGGATCCAAGAAGGGCGTAGGGGGAGCACGCCTCCCTCGTTTGCTCGAAAAAAAGGACGAAGAGAAAGAGAAGGGAGAAAAAAGGTAGGATCGGAGGGAAAATGCTTAGATCTGTCAATTATTCATGACGAAATCGACTCAAATTGCATATTTGATGCTTCAAAAAAATTTCTGGGGGAGGCCCTCAGACACCCTTCCCCCCACGTTCGAGGTGTCTGGGTCCGCCTATGATTTACCTTTGTAAAAATATATTAGCAGACTTGAGTAAAAGGGTCGTAACTAACATTTTTGCGTGTGTTAGCATTCGTGCTGTGCTTAGAAGAGACTTCATGTGTGAAAAAATTCGGTAGTCATGACACTGACGTCAGTTGCAAGGTGCAAAACTTGAAGAATTAAGAATTTGGAAGCGATAGGGCACTCGGGCACTTTTCTCGTGATATCCCGAATCGGGGAAAAATGTAATTACGAATTCATACCTTAAGCTACTTATGATGCGATCCCCCTAAACTTCAATGTCAATGTATTATTTTTATTTCAATCCATGCTTGCTACTTAAATTCAGTAACCTATCCTATCGATACAGACTTTTATTCAACTATACCATAACACATTTATGCCTTAAAGTCCTTTCACTGTCGAGCCGTATGCCTTTACAACCTCTAAACTATGCACACATTGAACGATATTTTCTGATTGTTTGCAAATCCCTAATCAAGTGATGTTACTTAATACTTGCTTCGGCTTTAATACACATTTGTCAGTCAATCACTGTTACAGTATACGTACTGTGTTATTATTTTAAATTGATTAGTATAACTGACTTACTGTACTTTTCATAATGTTACACCGTAAAAAAGGATCATACATACTTACTCAGAGCGCATTCAAATGATGAAAGATCGCGACTTGAAGTAAGGTCCTTGGAATATTATACAGTCAATTTTGACAACAGACTTAGGTTCATCATGTAGTGAAACTCAATGCAGTTATTTGATGGAGAAACAGTTCAAAAATTAGAAGTTACATATATAAATATTGAATTAAACCATCGCCTCAAGAGCATTTTTTAAAGCAAACTTGTTTCAATAACCGATTTCTTCATTTTTTCTATGATTTTTATTTTAAAGGAACGATATTGTATCAATGTCGTGAGAATAGAAGTATATGTAAAAGATGTACAAATGTACAATAAATGCCGTAAACCCAGTTACATTGTGATTCTATTAAATAAATGACGATTAACCTCTTAACAAAGGACCAATATACCCATTTATTATTCACATGGCATCTTCTTATTAATTTTCTTGTGTGTGTTCTTTTTTTCTTTTTTTTAAATAATTTAACAAATTCATGGCTTGAATATTTTCCACTGATTTTTTTCTGCATGATCAGTCAAAAATTGACAACATTTCTTTCTTTCCCCTAATGACTGTTATCTTTTCATATTTTAATGTTATTCTAGAGCTTTTACGAGCTTTTCTAGAGCTTTTCTAGAGCAATTAGATTTACTCCACAATACCCATAATCTAATCGGCAAGCTGCTTTAATACATGAAGAAATGCGAATAAAATCAATAATAAATTGGTGCATTTCAAAGTTTGTTGTTAAGAATGAAGATGAGACTTGAGAGTAAATTATATCAGCTGTATCTCAATACCACAGCGGCTCAATGCGTATTATTTCTGAAATGTATAAGTAAGTAAATTAAGTTGTCATACTTGTAAATAATCATCATTTTGTACATAAAGACTGTATTTTTTTAACTGATTTTTCAATTGTATTTATGTAAAAATGCTGTAAATGTGGAAAATATTTTAATATCATCATCAATACCTTAGTTTCCTTGTTATTTATTTCCAAGTTAAAAAACTTTCATGGGTTTCATGGGTATGGATAAGTGCAAAGAATGTCGCAGGAGAGGTTGCCCAAAAAAGTTTTGGATTGGGTACCACCTGAGAAAAGGCAACGGGACGTCCCATGAGGGGATGGCGGCAGGGCCTTGACGAAGCAGAGATGTCCCGTTGTTAGTTGCCCGATAATCTTTGGGAAGATAGGAGTGGAGTTCGAGTGTCGCAGAGCACCGAAGTATGCGTCGTAGGAATGAATTTCATGCATGTATGTAAAAAAAAATTATTCATAAGTTAGCTTTGAACTCAAAAAAGAGATTCATTATTGAGTAGAAATGGTGAATCTACGAAGGTATTTATTTAAAAGAAAAAAAAATTGGGGAAACCCCGTGTGTACGTGTATACTACTTACCTCAATACAATAAACATCGGGTAAATGTTAAAAACAAATATGTTTGATTTTTGTAAACCCTCTGTTTTTTTACTCACATTTTTCAAAAAGGAATCTCTATTTCAGGCTCAAAAATGAAAGCACTTATCTGCAATCATACATCAAGCCGCTTTCACATAGCGCTGCCTCGCGCTCTGCGACGCCCAATCGCCATTGGCCCCTGTCTTCCCAGAGATCATCAGGCAATTGGCACCTCCTGATCTCCTATCTGACCACCTATCTGCGTACCTATTGAAATTAATGACATAATATATTGTTTTTTAAAAAAAAAAAAAAAAAAAAAAAAAAAAAACAGTATAAAATTTCTCATCACAAGATGTGAGGTCAATGTTGTGCCACTCGTGCTATCGTTCGGAGATTGGGATGAATTCTCTTGCAAACGGCGAGGTGATACTCGCTAAAGTTCGCTCTTAAGTTATGGGTCTACGATGTGAGATTGCATTACGTTTGAAGATTTCGGCGTCACGTGGGGAGATGCGCTAGCTCAGATTCATTATGGACGCCGATACATCGATGACCAAGCAAAACAATTGAAGGCTATGCGAAAGAGGTGGCATGGTCACCTATGAAAAACATTTATATTCTCGTTTTCGGCAAGTCAGGCTTAACTCAATTACAGACTCCAGAGTTTCAAAGAAATAGATCTCGTTTCCGAAAATCTTGCATTAAACGTCAGCGCAGACATAAATGTTGAGAAACACGTCGAATCAGTGACTGCTTCAGCTTAGAGCTCGGATCATCTTAAAATTTGGTCAAATTAAAGTCGCTATTTTTATATAAGATTAGACATGAGAGGATAATATCATCATAGACTTTCACGAAATTAAATCCGCAGACTACGATATATCATTTTATTTCAAGACGGGGTGAGAGCCAGAGAGGCGTAAGTGCATTGCAACGTTGTGAACTTTTACCTCAACGAAAAGCTCCCACCAAAATCCGACTTGTAAAAAGAATTTTTTTTTTTTTCGAATTGAATATCGTAGAGAAACTTTCCGTAGTTAAATCCGACGGTGTGCTTTTCAAAATTGACCGTTAGAGATCTATCATGAGATATGACGCAGCCCTTAATAAAAACGCTTTTTTACTTCCTGTTGTTGTAAACAACTTTACTAATGGTCCGCGCAACTTGGAAACGCCTTCATTTACAAGTGGCGGCAACTTAATCAACAAGACACCAGCACTTGTTTGCCTACTCAAACGCTTGAAGGGGATTTAGAAGTCCATAGAGTACCTACTATTTTTTTAGATTGGTCTTATTACACATCGCAACTTTTGTCATGGTCTACTCATTACGAAGACGGTAGTAACCAAAATCTGACAATCGGTTCTTAATTGGTACAAGATTGGCTTTTAACCAAACTCACAATTGAAATTCGACTTTACACCTTGACAAACAGGCGAATCAAATTCAAGTAAATTCACGATAAATTCTGCATGAGAGTGTCAATCATCTTACATCCAGAAACAATAAAAATATATATTTATTAATTATGTAAAAAAAGGTATTGATTATAACATGTACAAAACATAAGGGTACTTATTGACTCATTGAAAAAGGCCACAAAAATTGATGAAAAACGGGATACTTGCATTGCACTTTAGATAATCCAGAGGTTTAATACAATTCAAAGCTTCAAGCTATATGTGACAAATACAGCAAGGCCTCGCTGATAAACCTCATGCTTAGGTTAAAAACAGTTCAAAAATAAGAGCCAATCGGCGTTCAGCTTTGGTTTCTGGATTCTTTATCAACCTGTTTAAGTTTTATGAAATTTGACAATTGCTTAACTCGTAGTCTAGACCAAATAGCATGGTTCGAAAGAGCATGGATGCTGGCTGCGGCTTGAGCAGCGGCCTCAGGGTATCGGACAGTCGTGCAACCAAGACCTGAAACATGATGGTAGCAATTCTTCATTAATATTGATATGCTGAAATTATTCAAAAAAGGCTCTTAAAGGCCCGATGAAATGACGAAATTATTCTATGTTTAGTAATAAACTTTAAAAAATGGCTCATAGAAAAGGAATTGGTTTTTAAAAAAACGGGCGTTGGGGGGAGGACTTTTGATACCCACCCCCACCCCTACGGATAGTCAAACTTTCAGATTATTTTAA